CAATGGTTGAACATGATGACTCCCAGGTTGTGAGCAGATATCTAAATGCGGCTTGTTTGAATTGGGGAGCAGGTATCTTACTAAAGAGGACAAGTTGCTAATGGTTATCCTTGTTGACTCGTAGTTTTCTAATTTGGACAGCATTTGGACAACATTTGTTATAGCTGCTGACTTAAGGCAGTGAAGTTGTGTGGCATCTACTGTTGTGGACTATTTAAACGTTAGTTGTACTTTCTGAGAAGTCTGTCATACCCTGCATATGTTGCTTAGTTTTACGTTTGTATTAAACCAAAAGTTGTGCCGAAATAGCTCAGTTGGGAGAGCGTTAGACTGAAGATCTAAAGGTCCCTGGTTCGATCCCTGGTTTCGGCAGAACGTAGATTTCTTTGGTGGACAACTTGCTCAATGGTTGAACATGATGACTCCCAGGTTGTGAGCAAATATCTAAATGCCCCTTGTTTGACTTGGATAGCAGGTAGCTTACTAAAGAGGACAAGTTGCTCAATGGTTATGCTCGTTGACTCGTAGTTTAAGAATTTGGACAACATTTGGACAACATTTGTTATAGCTGGTGATTTAAGGCAGTGAAGTTGTGTGGCATCTACTGTTGTGGACTATTTAAACGTTAGTTGTACTTTCTGAGAAGTCTGTCATACCCTGCATATGTTGCTTAGTTTTAAGTTTGTATTAAACCAAAAGTTGTGCCGAAATAGCTCAGTTGGGGAGAGCGTTAGACTGAAGATCTAAAGGTCCCTGGTTCGATCCCTGGTTTCGGCAGAACGTAGATTTCTTTGGTGGACAACTTGCTCAATGGTTGAACATGATGACTCCCAGGTTGTGAGCAAATATCTAAATGCCCCTTGTTTGACTTGGGATAGCAGGTATCTTACTAAAGAGGACAAGTTGCTCAATGGTTATGCTTGTTGACTCGTAGTTTAAGAATTTGGACAACATTTGGACAACATTTGTTATAGCTGGTGACTTAAGGCAGTGAAGTTGTGTGGCATCTACTGTTGTGGACTATTTAAACGTTAGTTGTACTTTCTGAGAAGTCTGTCATACCCTGCATATGTTGCTTAGTTTTACGTTTGTATTAAACCAAAAGTTGTGCCGAAATAGCTCAGTTGGGAGAGCGTTAGACTGAAGATCTAAAGGTCCCTGGTTCGATCCCTGGTTTCGGCAGAACGTAGATTTCTTTGGTGGACAACTTGCTCAATGGTTGAACATGATGACTCCCAGGTTGTGAGCAAATATCTAAATGCCCCTTGTTTGACTTGGGTAGCAGGTAGCTTACTAAAGAGGAGAAGTTGCTCAATGGTTATGCTTGTTGACTCGTAGTTTGCGAATTTGGACAACATTTGTTATAGCTGCTGACTTAAGGCAGTGAAGTTGTGTGGCATCTACTGTTGTAGACTATTTAAACGTCAGTTGTACTTTCTGAGAAGTCTGTCATACCCTGCATATGTTGCTTAGTTTTACGTTTGTATTAAACAAAAGTTGTGCCGAAATAGCTCAGTTGGGAGAGCGTTAGACTGAAGATCTAAAGGTCCCTGGTTCGATCCCTGGTTTCGGCAGAACGTAGATTTCTTTGGTTGACAACTTGCTCAATGGTTGAACATGATGACTCCCAGGTTGTGAGCAAATATCTAAATATGGCTTGTTTGAAATGGGTAGCAGGTATCTTACCAAAAAGGACAAGTTGCTAATGGTTATCCTTGTTGACTCGTAGTTTTCGAATTTGGACAGCATTTGGACAACATTTGTTATAGCTGCTGACTTAAGGCAGTGAAGTTGTGTGGCATCTACTGTTGTGGACTATTTAAACGTTAGTTGTACTTTCTGAGAAGTCTGACATAGCATGTATACAGACATGTATAGTGTATGACTCCATGTATTACTGTGTACCATATATTGTTTATGTAAGTAGCTGCGACTACTAACTGTGTTCATTGGTTAGGGCTGTACCACATGATTGTGATGTCACTACCTGGGGTATAAGACCATTGGAAGTCACGCCCCTTCTCTCTCTGTCCTCAAGCCTCTTGAGATGTGTGCCTATAATAAATAACGTCATGATGAATGGCTAAACTTGAACAGCTGAGATTATTCACCTTTCTGCTGCAGGAGACAAAAGGTTTAAGTCTAAATCTGCTAACATCATGAACTAAGTTCTCATGAACCTTTGTGGGAAAAGTACTGCGGTGTGAATGCGCCTAATGTGTACTATAGCAGGGTTTCCCAACCCCGGTCCGCGGACCGGTACCGGACTGTGGATGGTGTTACTGCCGGGCCCGCGAAAGCTGCTGAGTGTTATTGTAATATTTGCAGAATTATAAATATATAAAAATATTTTATCAAAAACAAATTCAACCCATCATCCAAAAACATACAAAATAAATCAAAATTGGTTTGCATAAGGTTGTGCAGAGAAAGATTACCGGTGCGCCAATAGGAAGTGGAGCACACAGGAGACAACCGTTTCATCGCAGACTGTTATGTTTATGTGGGGAAATGGCAGTGCATACATATTTGAGATATAGTTCGAACTCGGACTTAATTTTAAGGAACATTGCGGCCAGGGGTTGTAGAAGCTATTTTTTTAATTTGTTAAAACCTCCTTCACTTTCATGAAATGGCTGCAGCATCAGGAGGCAGCCTCTGAGAAGTGCTAGCACCAGCGCGTACACACCGCCTTCACTGTGTTCCCCACTGCAGGCTGTTACGTTTCAACCACACACACCTCTACATACACACACATCGAACGGCCCGATTATTCCCCCTATTACTCGTTGTATGAAGGAAATGTCCGGTCACAAAGGCACATGATGTGTGGTGTGTGTATGTGCTCTGCTGTGTGTATGTTCGGTGTGTTTTGTGTGTGTCCAACAACGGCATTTGTTTTCAAATGACCATTGTTGGAGCAATGAGTGGTCTGAAACCCACCTCGGCTCCGTGTGTCCTTTGATGAGCTAGTCAGATTATTAAAAAAAGGAATTCAAAGCACCAGGATAAGGGTTTTAAAAATAATAAATAATCTGTTTTAATGGTAAAGAACAACAATACAAGTTAAAAGGGGTACCCCTGCTCTGGTCCTAGTACACCTTTAAAGGGGCACCCCTGCTCTGTTCCCAGTGCGAGAGACGGACAAAGCACACAACAGGATACATGTAAGGACAACGGGAGGGGTTGTGTCTGATGCTCCTCCCACAGGGCCCATCTATTGGGAGATAATATAAAAACGATAGCCTGTCGCAGCGAATCAGCGCGAGCCAGCCAGGAGGAAAACATTACCTCTGCTCTTAAGCAGTCCTACAGCAATGCTTCTGAAATAGTAACGCACACTCATTCTACCATGCAGCATTCCAGAGGTTTGAGCTGTTGTCCAAATAAGGATATCTTCATCTCCCACATCTCCACTACTCCCAAATACAAAGGTTTCACTTCTCATATTTTCCAGCTTCTTATTTATACAGGACTGCTACTATTTAATACAAAGTAATTAAGTATACACATGAATATATAAAAACACACTTCTTATAATCAGGTGACATAATAAAATGAATATACCAGAAATACGCTGTATTAAACTTTCTGCTATAACACGTTACTTCACCATGAACAGTCATTTACACCACATTCTGGCCAAACTCCACAGGTATGTGGGTGTTCCCAAAAGATAGTTAGTTTAATCTTAATCTCGATGTAGTGCTAAATGCTGTCGGAGTGCACCGGAACGAACGCCCCGGTATGACGTTATTATGGCTGGAAAACAAGCCCAGGGGTCTCACTGACATTTCAGTTATATCAATATGTATATAGTGTATATAGTGGTCCTAATTTGTTTTAATTGTATCCTGGTTTTACACTTTGTTAATATGTTTTGGATGCATATTGTTCTATTATTTCTTCAGGCAGTTACATACAATTAGCCACTGTTGCCACCTATATTAGGCTATATTATATTATATATTATATTAATATTTGTAAAGCGGTCCTAATTTTTTGTTTTAATTGTATCCTGGTTTTAAACGTTTTTAATATGTTTTGGATGCATATTGGTATTTCTTCAGGCTGTTAAATACAATTAGCCTCTCTTGCTACCTGCTGGTGAGTAAATATTCAAAACAGTTAAAATTGACAACTGGTCCGCGAATTTTTTTTAAATGTATCTGCCGGTCCTTGGCACAATAAAGGTTGGGAACCCCTTGTACTATAGGACAGTAAAAAAAAAACAGTTTAAAAGGGAGGAGTGATTAGTAAAATATGCATAAATAAAAAGAAATAATGCTAACTAGGTAACATAAGATAAGAATATAACCAGTTTAAATGATTTGTTATTGGTTGTGATAATATTCTAAAGATGATTGGAGTATTGAAAAGTATACAGCTCCCTTTCATCTGAGTGTTGAGAGCTGTATTCATGAATTCATGTTGTGCTCAAAGTGCACCAGATTGATGCATTTCACTCACCCCCGGACCCCCCTAGAGGAGGTGAGGACCCCCCTAGAGGAGGTGAGGCCCGTCCACCCCCAAATAAAGCAGGTTAAAATAATTCAATTGAATACATTTTCTTTTAGTAAACACTGACCCTGTCCCACAGACCCAAAACAGCACACAAAGGTTAAAGGTCAGCATATCATAATGTTAAAATGTGCTAAATATATACACTGCAAAAAACAAAAAAAAGAGGAGTAAAAGTAGCCCCTGACTTGTTTTATTTTTTGAAAGCAGCTCTCATCCTAAAAAGGTTGGTGACCCCTGCTCTACGGAGTCTCTCTACTCCTCCTAAACTACCAGGATGCGAGGGGTTATAATATGCCCTTTTCAATATACGTTTATCAGACATCTTCCCTGTTACCCTCCCCTTGTTATAGTGAAGACAACAGTGGATGTGAAGGGCTGTAATACACATGTATCAGACATGCTCCCCTTGCTATAATGAAGACAACAGTTTTAAATTTTTTGAATTTTATATTTACATTTTATTTTTCACACACAAAATCAATAATACAGTTATACTGATTGTAACATCTCCAAGATCGTCTCCAGCATAGAATTCCCCAGATTATGGGAAATATCATAATGCAGTTTTTTCACTTCATTCAAAGTATTCATGTGTATGCTGTTTTTGGCACAAAGAGTCATAACATCTACAAACAGTGCATACAATGCGAGCAGATGATACACTTTTGTTACATTTTCTTGTTTCATTTCTTCGGTAATGTTACAGAAAGTTTCGGAAAATGAAGATTCCAGGACCACGTCAAATGTTTTGTTCACAATCGTTTCCCAAAGACCCAGATTACTGGGAGAACGAACCATATCCAACATTTCTTCTAGTTTACAAACTTCAGCCATTCTGTTCACACTGGGATCACTGTTTTCAATCGTCATAATCACAACACCTAAACGGGTATTGACTAAATTCTGATCAATATACACAGATCGTTTTGCATAGTAGGTCCCCATTTTTACTTTAAAGAAATGCTGAGTACTGAAAAAGTCAATTGCTTCATTCAACACCTTGTTATTGGTGTCGTCTTCTTCACCCAGCTCGCTCCTTGATGCGTCTTGAGGTCTTGAGATTGTGAAGAAAAGCCTCCGAATCGCGCCCTGGGTCCTCCTTTCAGACACGTGAATGTTTTCTGCACTCTCTAAGGATAGAGGGTGTCGTTTTTTCTCATACTGATATTCTGAACAATCTGTGCTGTTGTATTTGCTGTAAAGTGTCTCTACTGTAGGCTATTTTTATTATATGTACAGCACTTTGGCTCGACCAAAGATTGTTTATAAATGTGCTATATAAATAAAACTTGATTTGATTTGTGCAAAAATACATTGTTGAATAGCTGGAATAAAACAATCTTGCAGCCGTCTGCGCCGCGGGACGTCCGGTTACATTGACATCCCCCCGTACCCATCCAGCCTGGGGAGGAAGAGAGAGAGAGATTCAAAAAAATATAACTTTATTTAAAATGTCTTAAAAATTTGAAAACATTGCCGATACTCAGACCGGAAAATTCATACAATTCAGACCATTCACCCTGCAGAGAGAGAGTAAGAGTGTGAGTGAGAGTCCATGTCTGAGTCCTTGTCCAAGTGCGTGTACGCGTCCGAGTCCGTGTCACTGTCCGAGTCCGTCACCGAGTCCGTATCTGTGTTCGTGTCCGAGTCTGTGTCCGAGTCCATGTTCATATCCGAGTCCGTGTCCAGTCGGAGTCCATGTCCGAGTCCGTGTCCGAGTCTGTGTCCGAGTCCGTGTCAGAGTCCGTGTCCGAGTCCGTGTCCGTGTTCATGTCCGAGTCCGTGTCCAGTCGGAGTCCATGTCCGAGTCCGTGTCCGAGTCTGTGTCCGAGTCTGTGTCAGAGTCCGTGTCCGAGTCCGTCTCCGAGTCAGAGTCTGTCTCCGAGTCAGTGTCAGAGTCCGTGTCCGAGTTAGTGTCAGAGTGAGAGTCCGTGTTCGTGTCAGAGTCCGTGTCCGTGTCGGAAGTCCGAGTCCGAGTTTGTGTCCGTGTCCGAGTCCGTGTCCATGTTCATGTCCGAGTCCGTGTCCAGTCGGAGTCCATGTCAGAGTCCGAGTCCGTCTCCGAGTCAGTCTCCGAGTCAGTGTCAGAGTCCGTGTCCGAGTTAGTGTCAGAGTGAGAGTCCGTGTTCGTGTCAGAGTCCGTGTCCGTGTCGGAAGTCTGAGTCCGAGTTTGTGTCCGTCTCCGAGTCCGTGTCCGAATCCGTGTCTGTGTCCGAGTCCATGTCCGTGTCCGAGTCCGTGTCCGTTTCCGAGTCAGTGTCAGAGTCCGTGTCCGTCTCCGAGTCCAAGGTCAGAGTCAGAGTCCGTTTCCGAGTCAGTGACAGAGTGAGAGAGTTAAAAAAAAAAAACTTTTATTTTATTTTCAACAACAATGAGCTCATTTAACTAGACAATGAGAGCGAGATTTCTCTTCTTCTCATCTTTTCACATAAAAACAGAGTTAAAAGCGAATGTTCCCTCCACTATAGAGCACACAGCTGTAGTTAAAAACTATTCTTATGAAATCTAAAATCCACACTCACTCTTGCTTTTAAGAGAGAGAGAGAGAGAGAGAGAGAGAGAGAGAGAGAGAGAGAGAGAGAGGAGAGAGAGAGAGAGGAGAAGAGAGAGAGAGAGAGGGAGAGAGAGAGAGAGAGAGAGAGAGAGAGAGGAGAGAGAGAGAGAGAGAGAGAGAGAGAGAGAGAGAAATGCTGCGACTAATTTTCATCCCTGGATGTGTACTGATTTCTCTTTATTTTGTATTTTATTACTAACGTGTGTTTCTCTTTTTTAAGGCAAGGCAAGGCAAGGCAAGTTTATTTATATAGCACTTTTCAACACAAGGCAATTCAAAGTGCTTTACAAAAAATGAAAGAGATTAAGAAAATGGCATTTAAAATCAGTCATTAAAAAGAAAAGATAATAAAATAAACATTAAAAGAAAAAATACATGGATAAAAGTTACAGTGCAGTCAATTAAACATTAAAAGAAAAAAAGTACATGGATAAAAGTTACAGTGCAGTCTAAGATATGAATAGTTCAATTAAAAGCAGCGACAAAAAGAAAAGTCTTCAGCCTGGATTTAAAAGTAGTCAGAGTTGTAGCGGACCTGCAGGTTTCTGGGAGTTTGTTCCAGATATTTGGAGCATAATAACTGAACGCTGCTTTACCATGTTTAGTTCTGACTCTGGGGACAGAAAGCTGACCAGTCCCTGAAGACCTGAGAGATCTGGATGGTTCATCATTTAGCAGGAGGTCAGAAATGTATTTTGGGCCTAAACCATTCAGTGCTTTATAAACCAGCAGCAGTATTTTGAAATCTATTCTTCTTATACAGGAAGCCAGTGTAAAGACTTCAGAACAGGAGTGATGTGATCCACTTTCTTAGTGTTAGTGAGGACTCGAGCAGCGGCGTTCTGAATCAGCTGCAGCTTTCTAATAGATTTTTTAGTGAGACCTGTGAAGACACCATTGCAGTAGTCCAGTCTACTGAAGATAAAAGCATGGACAAGTTTTTCCAAATCCTGCTGTGACATTAGTCTTTTAATCCTAGATATATTCTTTAGGTGATAGTAGGCTGATTTAGTAACAGTTTTAATGTGACTGTTGAAACTCAGGTCAGAGTCCATGACTACACCTAGATTTCTGGCTTTATCTGTTGTTTTGAACATTGCTGACTGAAGCTCAGCGCTAACTTTTATACGTTCTGCCTTGGCTCCAAAAACCATTACCTCAGTTTTATCTTTGTTTAATTGGAGAAAGTTCTGACACATCCAGTCAGTGTCAGAGATTGAATAAGTCACTATTATTGCAGGCCTTTATGTTTACCTGCTTTGCCACTTTTCTGTAACACTGTAAATGTTCCCGCTGTGGGACTTATGAAGGAATTCTGATTCTGATCCCCTGCTTTTTGTTTATTTTAATTTAATGTTTTATTTATTTTATAGGTTTATATATTTTATCATATTTATTGGCTTATTCTTCCTTTATTTTAGAGATGGATCATTATTTATTTTATTGTGAAGTGTGTCTACATTGTGATTGTGAACTCGTCACAAACAAAAGACGAACCCGCCAAACACAGGAAGAGACAAGACTAAATACAGGGAGGGGTAATCACAAGATGAGAAACAGCCGGGCAGGGGAGGAGAAACATAAGGGCAACAGGTGAACACAATCAGACAACTAGACACACCAGGGAAAACTAATGACAGGAGGAAAAACACAGGGAAAAGGACCCGACAATAAACCAGGAGGAGAGAACAGCAAAACACCCAAACCTAGACATAAAAACGTGACATAACATGAATATCGTGACAGAACCCCCCCCCCCCCCCTCAAAACGACGGATACTAGACGTCCCTAAACACCAAAAAAACATCCAAAACGTCCAGCAGGATGGGTGGAGGGGGTCCGGAGGATGGGCCTTGACTGACAGCCCAGGGCACGGCAGAGGACCAGGAAGGGGTCTCGGGCGGACGGCCCGGGGGCAAGGCAGAGTTCGAGGAGGGGGTCTCGGGCGGACGGACCAGGGGCAAGGCAGAGTTCGAGGAGGGGGTCTCGGGCAGACGGCCCGGGGGCCAGGCAGAGTCCAAAAAGAGGCGAAGACCACAGCGGGCGAACCCAGGGGACCGGGCACTAGGGCGAAGGCAGCGGCAGGAAGAGTCAGGGGGCCGGGTCCGAGGGCGAGGACCGCGGCCGGGAAAGTCAGGGGCTCGAGGGCGAAGACTGCGGTACTCAGGGGGCCGCACTCGAGTGCGAAGACCGCGGCTCTCAGGGGGCCGGGCAGGAGCCGGTGTCGACCGGACAGGATCCGGAGCCGGTGGGGACAGGTGTCGGCAAGATCCCCCACAGAAGAGGACACAGGGCCGGCAGGCCCCCGGCAGGAGAGAAGTCGGCGGAACCTCCAACGGCACAAGACATAGGCTTGGCAGGACCCACGGCAGAAGAGTAGTTGGCGGGACCTCCAACGGCACAGGACATAGGGTTGGCAGGACCCCCAGCGGAACCTCCAACGGCACAGGACATCAGGTTGGCAGGACTCCCGGCAGAAGAGTAGTCGTGGGGCCTCCAAGGGCACAGGCCATAGGATTGGCAGGACCCCCAGCAGAAGACTAGTCGGCGGGACCCCCAACGGGACAGGACATGGAGTTGGCAGGACCCCCAGTGGAACCTCCAACGGCACTTGAGTAGGGACTTGAGTGGGGACTCGAGAGAGAGAGAGCTTGAGAGGGAACTCGAGAGGAAACTTGAGAGTTGACTTGAGAGGGATCTCGAGAGGAGACTTGAGAGGGAACTCGAGCGGTGACTTGAGAGGGAACTCGAGCGGTAACTTGAGAGGGGACTCGAGAAGTGACTTGAGAGGGAACTGGAGAGCGGACTTGAGAGGGAACTCGAGAGGGGACTTGAGAGGGGACTTGAGAGGGGACTCGAGAGGGGACTTGAGAGGGAACTCGAGAGGTGACTTGAGAGGGAACTCGAGAGGAGACTCGAGAGAGGGCTTGAGAGGGAACTCGAGAGAGGGTTTGAGAGGGAACTCGAGAGGGGACTTGAGAGGGGACTTGAGAGGGAACTTGTGTCGGTCGGTACACCAACAGGACACGGGAGCTGGCGTCGGCTGGAGAGCCAACAGGAGACGAGGTGCTGGAGTCGGCCGGTACGCCGAAACTGGAGTCGGGACCATAGCTGCTGGGGCCGGAACCATGGCTGCTGGGCCCGGTACTGGGGCCCGAACCATGGTTGCTGGGGCTGGAACCATGGCTGCTGGGGCCGGAACCATGGCTGCTGGGCCCGGTACTGGGACGGAACCATGGTTTGCTGGGGCCAGGACTGGGGCTGGAACCATGGCTGTGTGGGGACGGTTCTGTAGCCGGAACCATGGCTGCTGGGCACGGAACCGGAACACGGAACCATGGCTGGTTTCTCCATACCCATCTGGCGCGCCTCTGACAACACAGTTGCTGAACTCCGGACGCTCCCTTCCATCGATCCGAGCAGTTAGCCAAAAAAAAAGGAAAAATCCAATAATTCCAGCTCGAACGGATCTGCTGGGCCCATTTCACAGTTGGTTGGTTGGTTCTGATACGAGGAGTGAAGCAGGTAGGACCCAAACGCAGATAACACTGATAATACCTTTATTTCAAGGGCTCTTATCTAACATATCACATGGACAAACAAAACACTCCACGGTGAACTCGGTCACAAACAAAAGACGAACCAATACTGAACACAGGAAGAGACAGCCGGGCATGATGTTCACTTCTGTACCTCTTCTTCAGGTGATTTCCAGTCTGCCTGAAGTCGGCCATCGCCAGCCAGCAGGTCCGAACGCTGCAGGAGCTGCTGACCCTGTGACATTTCCACTCCAGAGACAAGAAGCGCCTAAAGGGACACAGGACGTGAGATCAGAGGAGAGTGTGTGTGGACAAATAAGATTCAAAGATTCAAAGGTGTTATTGTCATATAAATGTAAATGTAAATACTGCTTTATTTTATTTTACTATATTTTATCTTATTTTTTAATGTTTTTATAGTGTTCTTAAAATAATTCTCTATCTGTGTTTTTTTAATTGTTGTTTTATGTTTATATATGCACCATGACACCAAGTCAAATTCCTCGTATGTGTCATCCTACCTGGTAATAAACCTGATTCTGATTCTAAAGTGTAGAAATGGCAATGGAAATCTTTTGACCTGAGGCCTGTACTACGAAGCCGGATTTTCGCTTAGCGAGCTAACTTCAGGGTTAACTCGGGTTTCCGGTCCTACGACGCTGGTTCACTTCTTACCGGGGTAGATCTCCATGGTAACTAGGGTTGCCAACTTCCAGAAATGGAAAAACGGGACACATGCATGTGTCCCACGCGCGCGAAGATTTTCGGGTTTCTGGCGGATTTAGTTACTTTTTTTTGTTACTTTATTTCGGTTTTAGGGTTAGGTTAGGGTTATGTTATTTAATTATTTTGGGGGAGCCAGCCCCTAGGGTTCGAAAATGTTTTTGGGGGTCAAACCCCCCAAAACCCTCAAAATGCATAGAAAACTATGCATACCTATAACACAATACAAACACAATGGTCTTACACCTGCATTAGGCTACTACATCACATTGTACATCAGCATGTTCAAATCGGATAGGTGGGCACTAGGGACATCTGGGCACCTCGATGTACAATTGGCTATTTTGTCCAAAATGTTAAAAACAAAAATATTTGAAAAATGGTATTAAGTAATGCAAAGTATACATGTGAACATGCACGGTACATCATTATTAGACTTAATGTTATCCTTCAACCAACCATTGTTGCTCGCTTGTGCAGTTCTGTGCCAGCATGCTGTTTCAGGTCGTTTTCTCCACCGTGACCTATTGAAAACTCCCTCCGACACAAGGTGCAGAAGACCCGAGACAGATCTCCACTCACGGGCTTTACCCAACTGTATTTTTCTTCCCACTGTGTGTTGTAAGACACAAGTATTTTCTTTTTAGAAGGGCCAGGGCCCAGAACCACATCCTCTCTCTCTTCTCCTCTTTCATTATCACCTCCACCGGCAGCGCTCATTTTCCCGCACAACTGAACAGGCTGACATGCCACACACAAACAATGATGCCGCGCCCGCGAACATCTCACACACACACACACACACACACACACACACACACACACACACACACACACACACACACACACACACACACACGTGCGAGCATTGTGCCTGCCCTGTCAACTGAGCAGTCCTAGCGCCAGTGGCGGTTCTAGACCAATTTGACTGGGGGGGCCAGTTATTTTCTGAGGGGGGCACAATAAATGCAGGACGAAAAAGAGAACTAGACAGTATGAAGTAATTGCGCATAAGAAAACAATACAATACAGTTATTGGTATTTGTTTCAGTACACTTATTTATTTCAGATAGATCTTATAGTTATTACTGTTAGCTTCAGCTTAAGTTATAGTGCAATGTTTGCACTAACACCATATTTATATAAAAATAAAGGCAATGAACAGTTACATCTCTACTTTACATAAGGGTGTCTGCACAATCTCACATTACAGCAACAAAATCCTGCGGTTTTTGGCAAACCGAGTACCAGAAAATATACATTTAAAAAAAAAAAAAAAAACGTTTCCTTGTTAGGGGGCCACAGGGGGGTCAGAGGGCAGTGTTAGGGGGGCACTGGCCCCCCCTGGCTCCCCCCTAGAACCGCCCCTGCCTAGCGCCCTTCCTATACAGCACACAAACACACAGGCACGCAGCCAGACACACTGCATTGCGCGCAAACAGAACAATATATATTTTTGTTCTCTTTACCGGGAATCCGGGACAAACAATGTCCCGTACGGGACACGCCCCTTTTGGCTCAAATACGGGACGTCCCGGCTAATACGGGACGGTTGGCAACCCTAATGGTAACGTATGCTGAACGGCAAACCTGCTCCAGATGGTTTTGGTTCCAGATAAGAGATCAACTCAGTTACCTCATTCACACCAACGCAACTCCGGTTCAAGCTCCGTGCTAGAGCTTTTCAGGTTCAGAACCAGTTCTTCGGTTTAGCTCTGGCTCTTTTCACACCGCCCAGAGTCCGACTGGTAATGCGTCGTTGCGTCATCGTTTGCGTCATGACGTAACCGTTTGCGTGCCTGCTTCATAAAGCCAAACCGCGCGGATGAAATCAGTTGCATTCATTTCTTATGGCTCTATCTGCAGCTTTTCCAGAGTCATTTCTGTGGTTTAGTTATATTCTTATAAAAAAGTGTACTCGTGTCAATAAAGGTTTTTTTTAAAACACAACTGCTTCCGAGGTCGGTCTTATTTCTTAAGGTGGACTGAACCATGAGTGTGGAGTAACGTTGTATCTTTCATTTAAATGAACTGTAACCTTCACCCAGGTATGTAACAGCTGTTCTCAACTGAACAGGTGAAGTAAAGTTTAATATGTATAGTTTTATAGATTTATAATGAGTTATAATGAGTGATCAACGTGAATGCTCAGGTTCCACCTTAACACGCAGACACGTTGCTTCACCATGAGCAGAAACCTTTATATTTACAGTCTATGGCAGAAACACTGAAACTCTTGTTAAGTTTCTCCATCGTTGTGTACAAACTGGATAAAACGCGGGCTTTTTGTTGTTGTTCAGGAGTTGATCTGTCTCTGCCATGGATGTGTCTCTGCCCCCGCCTCGACGTAAGCGTGACGTATGTGGTGCTTTTGCTCTGGCCGGACAATTTGTTGGTGCTTGAAACGAACCGGATTCCGGAGCTAAGAGGCTGCTCCGCTGCGTTGTGAAGAGGAAAACCCGGTGCTTTTCAAGCTCCAGCTCCGAATCGGCCCTGAAACACCGTTGGTGTGAATGAGGTAAGTGAAAGCACCGCCTGCTGACCAATCAGAGCTCAGTGTGCGGAGTTTAAATCTATCAAGTCATATTACAGGATAAAGTAAATATAGAAAGACGGCCGGCAAAAATCACCGACTGTGTGAACGTGAAAATTAATAGAATATCACCTCCCATCTTCAGAGCAATCTGACTATTATATATATACTAGTATTATAACATTAGCATTAAGAAAGCTTGCTTAAATATCCGTAACTGGATCAAAGTAACATTATGTACAGTCCGCGGCACTGTGAGTGCATACGTCGATGTGTGTCCCATTATCATTCATATCACATTCACATCATCAATCACATCATAATATATCATATATTTCCTTATCTGAGTCAGCTGAGCCGTATCTGGCCCTGCAACACTCACAGCGTCACATACTGTATGCAGAAGTATTATTTTAAGCAACACATTAAGTTGACGAAACACTTGAGTCAAATGTAATTAAAGTCAGATCCACTTGTGTTTTAGACGGGGCAGTGATATCATAAACCTGTTCATGTACGAATTCAAACACTTTTTTTGTTTACCAGCTGTTCTGTATTCTCCTTGCAGGTACAACTATGTTGCTTTTATCCTGGGTAAAGTGTTAAAGTCATGAAGTTAAAATGACAAAAAAAAACTAAAGTAACAAACCTGTTTTGAAAATGTAAGAAGTAGAAAGTACAGGTATTTCTGTTAAAAATGTAAGAAGTAGAAAGTACAGGTATTTCTGTTAAAAATGTAAGAAGTAAAAGTTAAAAGTCGTCAGAAAAATAAGAAGTGGAGTGTTAGTGTCTCTGTTAGTTTAGTTTGTGTAAAACAATGACTCATCAGCCCCTACATTAACATGTTTATTTTCTACTAATCCCAAAACAATGCCACCATTTTACAGAAATGCAAGACTCAAATTGTATTTAAACCCATTACAATTTGCAATGCTAATTCAAAGACAACAAGAAAATGTACCTCAAGAAAATATTCTCAGGTTAATGCTTAAATACACATTTCGGAGTAAATACAGAGTTAACAGTATTGCCTATAAGCAACTTGTAGCTCAGGTTGATTATAAGCAATATGCAAGTGGTCCAAAAACAGCCAACTGGTGAGACACTATGTTGCTGTTATTGTTGTCAATCTTTCAACACAAGGTTGTGATTTTATTAACATACAGATGTGTTTTCATTTGCATGCAGGTAAACACATCTGTACCTATATTAATCTTGTAACATTTATCCTTGTGAGTCTTACAATTAGTTTGTCTCATTTGAGCCTTCCCTCCAATATCAAGTGAAGTTGTTTTTCTTTTCAAAAACTCTTAAAGCAGCAGTTTGTAATGAAAACATTTAAGTGATTTGCAGCTTTTATTCATTTGAAAAGGTATAGATAATTCCAAATGTTAGTTGTGACCCTCTGCCAAACCTTTATCATGAGGTTGGTGCTTTAAAGATAATTCCACTTATTGTCCTGTTTTCTATCCAGTTATCATGTAGTGAAGTTATCAGTAAAAAGCACACTGTCAGATATCCACTAAAAATGTCATAGGCATTTTCTTTCAAAGGCATTCTACTATATCAAACTCAACATCTTTGTCAATAAAGTTTACCATGTAAGGTTTTCCTACCATATCAATGTGTCATGTAATTATAAAACGTTAAAGGTGCTTTGTTTTAGCTGAATTTAACCATGAGAGTGAGAGAGTCTCCCTCTTTTTTGGTTACAATTGCTTGCATCATTCCTGGAGGTGTATGCAGATACCTTGAGCCTTTGAAGAAGTTTTCGATAAAAGCTCTGTCAATCTTGTTGCACTTTCCGATTGCAGCCTCAAAGTTGTTGCTGAGGACTCCGTAGATATTCCCCTTGTCGTTTTTCTTTCCCAAGAACAAGAAGAGGGCGTAGCAGTCCTTGCCGATGGATGTGCAGAAGTCCACCAGTCTCTCGTATGTGGTCTTGTTACTGGACTCCTTTTGCGCAATCTGGATGGACTCGGTGCAGGCCTCTTGGGGGATGTTGTTCTCCTCAGCAGCCTCCCTGTCAGGGAGGTGTAGGACCTGCACAGCGATCTGGATCCGAGGGTTCTTGGTGGGCTTCTCAAGCATGGCCCAGACCCAGTCAGGCCCTAAGAGGATGCGTTGCTCAGGCGTCATGGCCGTGCAGTTGAATCTGTCTGTCATGTTCAGGCTGACACTCTGAGAGATGTAGGTCATTAGGAAGACCTGTTAAAGGGCAAGATGTTTAAAGACCACCTAAAAGACATTTTTGAATTCTAAAGAGGTTTTTTAAGTATAGATTTTAATAATAGTTAACTTTATTATATAGCACTTCTAAAAAATAGTTACAAAGTCCATTATGATTAAACAGATAATAATGAGAATCTAACAGCAACAATAATAAACACACAATTAAAAACATAAAATGTCATAAGACATAAATAAAAAATACAAATCTAAAAGACAGTTTTTTTCAAAGGCGAATTGAAAGACACAAAATGGTTTGCAGCCCTGATTCTAATTCCAGAGTTTAGAAGCCCTGACTTGAATTCCTAGAGTTCAAATCTTAGCAGTATAGTTTGTCTGAGCTGGAGGGATTATTTGACTGATGCCAAGGAGCAAGGTATTACAGTGATCAAATCAACTAAGTATAAAGGCAATAATAATTGTCAGGTTTTTGGGAGAAATAAATGATCTGATCCCTGAATATGTTTCGATTTCTGCAATGCTGGGTTATTGAAGCGGAAAGAGAACCAACACCAAAGACTTCAATATACTGTATGTAACTGCACTATCTTTGTGACCGGTAACGATCATAGGTCTAAGATTGTTAAGATCACAGCTTTCAAAGGATGGCCTACCTGGGTGAGCACCTCAGAGCTTGCTTGGAACTTGTCCTCTGGGTCTTTGAAAAGGAGGTATTCTCGTGTTCTGGATGCAGCGGCAGAGATGCAATCATTGAATAGCGGTATGAAATCATTCGTTTTGGTGATGAGGGGCCTTCTTAATGTGGAGAAGATGCTTGGTCGAGGGGCCATGTTCTGTTCGTTGGAGATGGGGGGGGGGCGGCTTTAAAGATAAGTTGGAGTTCTGGGGGTTGGTTGGTCTGCTGCTTGTCTGGCCCATAGTGGACTAATAATGGAGGATGGGAGTTCAGAGGGTGGTGTCCCTGGTACCCTGGAAAGATATTGATTGTTCCATGAGTTTTTGCATAAAAAAGAAAATCCTCATCTGTATTATTTCTGTCCCACAATATGGAACCATTCCAACTGACTTTCACAGTGAGCAACCATTTATCCATGTTGCACATTAGAAATGTACACCATTTCTGTCCAATTATGTAATGTGCTAATATAGTAGAAATTACAAGGTCTGAAATCTGATTTAGAAAAAAACGCATACAAAATAATTGCAGATACTCACCAGGATGCTCTTGAAGTTTCTGTATTTCCAAGTACACTACCTGCCTTCTGCTCCAGTCCTATCTGAGATACACAGTGTGTGAATGGTGCTGTGAAGCTTAGTCTTCAGTCTCCTGACATTTACTGAACCTTCAGTAGAATAGAGAGGATTTTTATCCAAGGTTTTGAGGGGTGTTCCTGCTATGTGACAAGGGTGTGGTGTCTGTAACTTGTCAAATTGTATAAGGCTAGGTATACAAAGACTCATCTTACCAGTTCACCTTGGTAACCCTGAAGGGTTTGATGAGTAAACAAATTGCTCTACTGTGTTTTTTTCTGAAGGAAGCACAGAAGAAAACATGGGTTTCAGCAGCTTCAAGTTTGGCTCTATATTTTAATGTCACGCTAGAGAATAAGAAGAACATTTTATTTGTGTTTTTATTATGAAAGATTACATTGAATTATAAATAAAAAATCTTAATCTATCACCTTGCAGAAGGGTACATATTTAATAGTTACCCAGAATCTGGCCAATACAAAGCCCTGATATAAATGTATCTTTAACACAGATTTATTTTAGCTCCAACTCTTTAGAAGATAGAATTAGAGAGATGAAACCCTCTTTAATGGTCACACATGCAGAGCACACAGCACACAGTGACATTTGGCCTCTGCATTTAACCCATCCTAGTAGTAGGAACAGTGGGGAGCTATTGTACAGCGCTTTGGAAAAATAAACTGGTTCTTTGGCTTCTAGAGCTCCATCATATCCTCCAAATAGTGACTAGCTACTGACTATGTCTGCCTTTTGGTGCTGAGCAGTTGATTAGGACTAATGCATGTTTGTCAGAAGTGTTTGCACTGAAAACAGCTGCCAGCTGCTGAGGTAGGAACAAGGTTGACAGCAGCATTGCAATAAACCATAACAGTAAGGAATGTGGCCGTACCAAAACAATGAGCTTAGGGATGGCTAACAAGCTCTCCAGGTAGATGATGGTAGTGCAGCTTTATTTATTCAGAATTGTGACAAAAAATATGTGGGACAGTTCATATTTAAAATGCACAAATTATTTTAACGGTTACACTGTTTCAACATTTCCTCATATCTGTTATTTCTGAAATGGATAATATCCATGGAACTGAATTGTTCCAACTATCAGTTCCACCTTCACAAGCTGCTAAAGCTCCTTTGGTTAACACATAATATATTACCCTACCTGACAGATTAACTGTTCAATTGTTGGATGCTAATTTTTGCCTACAATATAACTGACACTTTTGTTTAAAGATATCTTTAGATGTCATTTTGCTAAGGAGCTCCCATCATCTCCAGTGACTCACTGTCTCGTCTTTAAAGTTTCATGGGTCGAAATTCCAAGATACTTTTGTGAAGTCTTTAGCTATTGTATCTTAACATATAATTTATTATATGAAAACTTATTTCCACTGAATATTTCCCTCCTAAAATAATAGAACTACTTTTAACAAAGTAACATGGCTTAAATAGGTTTTTGTCCTATTCAGCCTTTTCACATCAACATCACTCTTATTGTAAGTCACTTTGGAGAAAGGCTAGAGCTAAATGAAACATTATTTAATGCGGTAATATCTTACAAATACACAAAAAAGATCATACTGAGAAACTTAGCTTAACTTAATTGTGTTTTTTTCACAGTCACAGTTTGGACTAATAGGCCATAAGGTGAACCCTGTTATCGTTTCATCCCGCTCCACAGAAGTGGAACTACACAATCTTTAGTTCATAAAAAAGAACGAGTCATGCCTATCCACCAAAAAAAAGTTCGTCGCTAAAATTACTGTCAATTCTTCTAGGCACGTAATTATTGGCTGAACTAGTCCCTTCAAAGCGTAATAATATCTTGGTCAAAAGTAGTGCCACGGTTTGTCACGTGATCGCGCTACACCAATTGGGTAGCTGCATATACCGGTATCAACAAACAGATTTGGAAAAAATGGCGACCGCCATGGTTTCATCGAGTAGCGGGGACGAGGAAAACGCACCAGAAAGTCTCAAAAAGTCAAAATGATCAACACACAAACATTGTTACATGCATATTACGTCTGTGAACGAAAAGGTTGATTATTTTACCAATACAAGATGGAATACGTACAGGACAAGCTTACAACGGTGGCATTGATTTTGAAGTTACAAATACAATATTATCATATTACAATAATAATAATATAATATATATATATATATATATTATATATATCTATAATAATAATCTAGATATATCTATAATAATAATCTATATATATATAATAATAATCTATATATATCTATAATAATAATCTATAATAATAATAATAATAATGCAATTCATCAAATGATTATATGATGAATGAGTAAATAAATGAATCAATGGTCATTGGTATAAGTACTGCATTTTATTGATCTAAATTACTTAACGTAACAAGTTAACCTTCTTGGACGCAGCTATGTATGAAATCAAGTCATGTTTATTGTAAGAGTGCATTTAACGTGTACAGGGTAACAATAACAACAGACAGACAGACAAAAAGTCCTCAGTCTAATGGAATAATCCACGAGCTCAGCCAATGAACCGAGCGATGCGAACATGGTAGTCCAGGAATGTTGTTGTAGCTGGAGTTGGCTGATAAACGCTGCTAGCCAATGTTGATTCGATGGTCAACTCTGTTCCCAGATAGTAAAACCTCTCACAAATACTGCGTATATAACGCAAATACCTCGGACTTAGTGATGTATTAAGACATATGACAAAACATGACATAAAACAAGCATACAGCACTGTTTAGAATCCATTTGGTCTGGTTTAGCGTAACCATGTAGGCGGCCATCTTTCACTTCTGTTGACAATATGCAGCTACCCAATTGGTGTAGCACGATCACGTGACAAACCGTGGCACTACTTTTGACCAAGATATTATTACGCTTTGAAGGGACTAGTTCAGCCAATAATTACGTGCCTAGAAGAATTGACAGGAATTTTAGCGACGAACTTTTCTTTGGTGGATAAGCATGACTCGTTCTTTTTTATGAACTAAAGATTATGTAGTTCCACTTCTGTGGAGCGGGATTTCTTTTCTAAAGGACTTTTCGAGGTTCACCTTGCGGCCTATAATACAGCTTTGTTTTTATGCTACGGTATAATAATTCAGAGTATTCTGTCAGTATATTATCATCAGATGGGTTTCTACAGAACAGATGATCATCCTAATATTATACCCAACAAAGTAGTTATTCCTTTATTAATGACCTTCACTTACTTTGTCAGTAAGCCATTTAGGCCAGCCTGCACAACACAGGACACTGGAAATAGCAAACACAAAACTCAATCATTATACAAATGATAAAATACACCTGTGCTTTTGGTGCATTGGTATCCAACTGATCCCAACACTACACCAGTGATGTTGATTCAGACAACTACCAAGACATGGTTTTATGTTTTTTTTATATCCAAAGCCTTCAGGTTTCAATTATTGAGATGACTTCAGCAAACACAGCAGGAGCAAAAGAACCAAGACTTGCATCTGCCTTATTACAGCAAGTGAAATACCAGCGCACAGGTTACTCTTTAGTTACCGTTATAAAGGGTTTCTCTCAGAAAAAGAGTTTTTTATCTGAGTGATTCAAACGTCTGTCACTCCCAAAGAGGAGAGGTTACTTGGTGTGTGAATTATCTGCCTAAATCATAACCAGCCGTTTCTGTGAGGTTGGCGATGCTTCAGACAGAACTTCTATTTGCAACGTGGTAATCGCTGTAATCGCCATATGCAACACGCACGCACGCACGCACGCACGCACGCACGCACCCACACACACACACACACACACACACACACACACACACACACACACACACACACACACACACACACACACACACACACACACACACACACACACACACACACACACACACACACACACACACACACACACACACACACACACACACACACACACACACACACACACACACACACTACCTCACCAACTCTTATAACTGTAATGACATTGAGGGAAATGATGATGAGTTTCCTTGGCTTCAGTCTATACCAAGTAATCCCTTTTGCAACATGCATCACTGACTGGAGTGATGCATGTTTCTGCTGAACTCAAACATGCCATGTCGTATTTAGAAGCTAGCGGAGCGCAGCCATGGCATCAGGACAACATGATGGTGAGGATGGTGAGGATGGTGATGATGAGAATTATGATGGTGATGATAAAAACAGGTTAGTGGTTGAAGCAGGTTACTCAGACATCTGTTTCGCTTTATGGAATGTGTATTCATTTGCCTTTTAAGATGATTTATGAATAGGGAGACCCCGAAAACAGCACATGTGTTTACTTCCTGAAGTTTATATAGTTATGACATTTATTTTTTTAATGAATCAACTTTACACACGTGATTTTGTATTAAATGGTTTGAATCATTGACACCTGTAAGCTTCCTTTACGGAGCAAGGTTTTATTTACAATAAATATACTATTACAGCGTATATGAAAATGACAGTACAAAATAAACATGCTAGTATTTGTTCTGCAATGACATACAGAAATGAAAATATTGCACAACGTTTCTTAACCACATGACAGAATGATGCTAATGAACTAGCGCATATAATCATCTGTTGCTGGTGCACAAATAAAATAAAATTACTCAATACTTTACAAGAGATATTTTTATTAACTCATTTGTTGTGTGGAATCTAGAGAGATGGTGATGAGTTACATCATGGCACACGTTTGGGATGGAGGTCGGCGAGTGAGGTGTCTGACTGGAATTATAATCAAATAGTTAAAGAGTGGAGATGAATTGTCTCATTTTACCCGTCATGATCGGCAGCAGTTTATCTTGGCATCCCTGCCTCTCTTCACTAGTAAGCAGTGTTGGCCAAGTTACTTACAAAATCTAATATATTACATATTACTTATTACTGTCTTTTGAAAGTAATAAGTTACATTACAATATTACTGTCTCTGAAATGTAATGAGTTACACTACTTTTTAGTTACTTTCACCAAAATAACTGCAAAAGAATGGCTAGGTATTTTAAATGCTAAAATGTAGTTTAGTGCAGCTCATTATACATCCAGTGAAGGGCGATGTGGTATAGCATAACAACTGTGTAGGCCATTAAGGCTACTAACAACTTGTATTACACGGCTTAGTTGAATACTGGATTCTGATTGTAGCTTCTTAACATGTGACACGTTGTTAATACAGCAGTACAGACCACTGTCAAGGACTATAATGAAGGTTGCTAAGGAGGATCAAGAAAGAGAAAGGAAAAGAGGTTAAAAGACGGAGCGCTGGACGTCAGATAAATCACCAGAAGAAGGCAGACAGGAAGTAAACACTAACAGGACACGGAATGGGCTCTGTAGTGTGTTTAGTATATGGCCGTGTCCAGGCCCGGTTCCAGAACAAAATGACTCAGGGTGCCTCTGAGATTACAGGGGGCCCAGCAGTAGCAGGTTTACGTGAGCAATAGTGGCCGGCAACAGCAATGAAAAATAGCATTGATGGTCCCCAATGAACAGATTATGGCATTTGCTATGTTTTGAAACCAAGCAAGTGAGAACATTTCAAGTTAAAAGTGCAATCCTGAAATATGTCATATAGTCCAAAGTGGACTGTGGCAAAGAAAAGCACAAAAGCTTCAAAACTGTACTGATACAACAAATGAGAAGATATTGTAAATCAATGCAAATATGATTTGAACCAGCTCATGGTTTGAAATGGCAAACATTGAAAAGCAAAAGTATTATTGAAACCATGTACTAAATCATCTCTTTGGTCCCATCATATACTCTGGGAAGAGAATATTTACTGTGCTTGAAAACTGGTATCACATCATCATGTGAGGTTGACTTTGTGACCTGGAGAACATTTCAGCTGCAACATTAGCTCGTTGATAAGCTTGGGATATGAGATATTTTTGTAGCCATTCGTGGTGAAGGCATCTGTGCTATTGTATGCATTATTTTTGACCCAACATTTCTACAGGCATGGCAGAATATGGCACTATTTTCACATGCATATTCCCTTGTCTATTTGTATACCACGAGCTGCAAGATGACCGGCTTACCCCACTGTACAGGCGGGTACTTGTTTAGATATACCTGGGCAGGCTCTGTTTTGCCGTGGTATCCTGGCACCTGCGGGACGCAGAGGGGCGGCATAGCTTCGGGCGACGAAGACTGCTGCTCCGGGGGCGAGGGCGGCGAGTCAGCCGGGAGTAAGCTCGTGTCCACAACGGAGGGTCACGTGATGTCCCCATCTGGCCTGTTGCTACTGTCTGCAGTAGATGCAGTGTTGCTGGCGTTTAGTGATGGTTGCTTTAACCATGTTCGTATAAATGATTATCCACAGATGTGTGTCACTGCTGTGGAAGCACTTTGGAAATGATGCACGCGCAGCGGAGCAGGTCACGCGCACCTGACACAATTTGTTGCTTGTATTTTTCGCTCCGTTCTCTTTTTTGAATAGAGGGTGCATAACATTCAACTGCCCCGAAGATCCCGACGCGAAGCCTGAAGGGTAAACACCAGGTTTACTAATCTACCCGCACAATTTGTCTCCGGTGTCGGAATGTCTCGCTATGTTAGTACATTCTTAAAAAACAAAACACCATTTAATTTCGGGTTAAAATGCGTTACTGCGCATTGTAACGGGTAATATATTACCCACATTTAATTAGTAATGCGTTACATTACTTCGTTACAGTAAAAAAGTAAAAGTAATATATTACTGTAACTCCGTTACTTTTGTAACGCGTTACACCCAACACTGCTAGTAAGGCACAGGGTGGGGTTCAGAGGAGCAGGGAGGAGGAGGCTGAGGTATTATTGGCAAGCAGAGAAAGCCGAGCAGAAGCAGTGACGGCTGATGGTTGATAGAAAGAGCTTTGGTAATGTTGCTGTCACAACTGTTTTCTTGGCAATTGATCATCTCTGCTCTCGTCCATCCCAACCCGGGCCCTGGGGCAGTCTGACTCTCGGTCCAGGACTGCGCTCAGATCCATGAAGCCAGCTTAGGGCTGCACCTGCACTTCATCGTTCACTGCAGGCACTCCTGACCGAGGCAAGGACAACTCTATTGGACACACGTAGTCTTTGGATTCATCTGGCCGTCTCCTCCTGAGATGAGTCAAGTTAGTGAAGCCCAACTTCTTTGGCTGCAAATAAAAGAGAAGAAAAAAGGACATGACGTTCAATCTTCACTGTTGGGAAAATACTGAATGTACTCTTCTAATATCAGAGTAGCACATGATAACAAAGGCCCTACATAGCTGTGTACGTAACAGGATGTACAGTATGACTACATAGAAGAAGCTCATGAGACAATGTGTTGAACACATGATAGCTATGTTCAACGATTAAACATGATGACACGGCCCCTAGGGCAGTGGTTCTCAAGAAAAATAGTCAGGCTCAGTGGCGGCGCCAGAGATTTATTTTGGGGGTGCTGTGGGGTAGCTTGACGTTTCATAGAGGGTGCTCAAACATTTAGGGTTTCCCATTAATGTACCGGTCGCTACAGAGGAATGTTCTACTGCAACACTCCCCACACATATACACAGTGTGACAGTTACAATGAAGGCTCGAGGCATATAGGTGTAAGCAGGGGTAAAGTGCTATTTTTATAGGTGGTGTGTGGACCTCACATAGGGGGGTCCGGGGGCAAGCTCCCCCGGGAAGATTTTTTTTTAAATATTGAAGTTAAATGCATCAATCTGGTGCACTTTGAGAGCAACATGAAGAGCTCTATGGATACATCTCTCAACACCCAGATGAAACAGAACTGTTAACAGATTTACTTTTTCTTTATGGATATTTTACAAATCACTCTTTTAAACTTTATACTTTATTCTTGTTTTACTGTCATATAGTATTTCATACCTGTTTTTCATTTATTCTCTTATTTTTTTATAACTATAATGATCATTATAAACGTGTGAGACCCACTGAGATAACTTAGACTAAAGTTAACTATCTAAACACTGAGAGAGTCCTTTAGCTCACTGAGCCTCTCAGTCTCACAGGAGAGGACTCTCCTCCACTTTGTTGTTGAAAAAACTCCTTATATCCGTTAGCGTAGCTCGCTAGCACCAGAAGCTAACAACAACGATCTCCGGTACCGGTGCGTTCTCTCTCTCTCGCAAGCTTTAATGAAACACAGAGACCCAGACGTAATAATACTGTACTGCATCATATTATTTTCTAATCAATCATTTTTCAAATTATGATTTTTTTTAATAGCCATTTTTCCTCCTGGTCTCTCGCGCCCCACTTTGAGAACCACTGCCCTAGGGAGATAGGCATATGACTGTAGAGAGATAGGCATGTGACTGTAGAGAGATAGGCATGTGACTGTAGAGAGATAGGCATATGACTGTAGAGAGATAGGCATGTGACTGTAGAGAGATAGGCATGTGACTGTAGAGAGATAGGCATATGACTGTAGAGAGATAGGCATGTGACTGTAGAGAGATAGGCATGTGACTGTAGAGAGATAGGCATGTGACTGTAGAGAGATAGGCATGTGACTGTAGAGAGATAGGCATGTGACTGTAGAGAGATAGGCATGTGACTGTAGGGAGATAGGCATATGACTGTAGAGAGATAGGCATGTGACTGTAGAGAGATAGGCATGTGACTGTAGAGAGATAGGCATATGACTGTAGAGAGATAGGCATGTGACTGTAGAGAGATAGGCATGTGACTGTAGAGAGATAGGCATATGACTGTAGAGAGATAGGCATGTGACTGTAGAGAGATAGGCATGTGACTGTAGAGAGATAGGCATGTGACTGTAGAGAGATAGGCATGTGACTGTAGAGAGATAGGCATGTGACTGTAGAGAGATAGGCATGTGACTGTAGAGAGATAGGCATATGACTGTAGAGAGATAGGCATGTGACTGTAGAGAGATAGGCATGTGACTGTAGAGAGATAGGCATGTGACTGTAGAGAGATAGGCATGTGACTGTAGAGAGATAGGCATGTGACTGTAGAGAGATAGGCATGTGACTGTCATGTTAATTGCTTACGCAGGCCTTAGCTAATCTGAACCAAGGTCAGAATACTGCTTTGAACCAGTATTCTCTCATCTTGTGACTATAACACTCTCTTGTATACAAGGCATGTCAAGGACTCTATTCGGAGAACTATGTGTCCCATGCAACCTCTGTGTGTGATGACTACTTCCGTTCTTGCAAGGATAATAAATATATGTATCCTGATATTGAAGCTAAAGCCGGTGACGAGTGATATTTTCCTAACATTCACACACAGCACTACACACTTTGAATTGAACCGTCCTAGAATTGGAAGCAGTGGGAAGACACTTTAAAGTGCCTGGGAATCAGTGTGGGGGTCCAGCGCACCTCTCAAGATTACAGTCCACAGTCCGTACTTGGTCTGACTATCCGGTACCCAAGCCAAGTCCCTACAGACTTAAACATTTACTGTACATAGTACAGTATATGTGAATACATGTAGATGTATATAACTACTTTATATATTCTTTTATACATATTTTTCATTGAAATATCTGTACATACAGTATGTTCACTCTGTGTTGCATAAAGGGGCAATAACTTGCATTTAATTGTGCAGCTCTGTATTGTAAAGATTCTAATAATTGTTGAACTTCGGAACTCGGGACTTAGCTGAAACCAAAAAGCTAAATGGAGACAAAACGTTGGACTTCAATTCACACAAATGAATTCTAATGTTGCTCTATGTCTGCTAAATCTTTGCTTTAACTGTTGCCATAACAATTTGTAAAAGTCATTATATCTCAATGTTGATTTTTACATCTTTTTGAAGCCTTAACCTGATGATATTGGTGTAATGCAGTTCCAGCAGTACTCCTTTCCCTGGCCACATCAACCAGCTCTGACTGGGGGATCCCAAGGCGCTCCCAGGCCAGAGTGGAGATATAATCCCTCCACCTGGTCTTGGGTCTGCCCCTTGGTCTCCTCCCAGCTGGATGTCCCTGGAACACCTCCCCAGGGAGCCCCCCAGTCATGACCATCTCTTCATGACCATGAGTGAGAGTAGGAACGAAGATGGACCGGTAGATTGAGAGCTTTGCCTTCCTCAAAACGGTGCGGTAAAGCGACTGCAGCACCCACCCCGCCCCATCTCAAAACCTCTGGCCACCTGAACAGTTTCTTCCCCTCCGCTACCGGCCGCATCAATAAGACCCGCCCCCCCCCCACTGACACTTTACCTCAGCCACATCATAGACTCTATGCATTACATTAATGCACACAATGTACAACAATATCTGTTTTATTTTCTTATTACTGCAGATTTTTTTTTTATTCCATTCCATTGCAATGTAAATACTGTTATATTTATATTTTACTATATTTTTTATTATTTTAAATATTTTTTCTAGTTCTCTATCTGTGTTTTAATTGTTGTTTTACTTTTATGTATGCACCACGACACCTAGTCAAATTCCTCGTAAGTGTAAACCTACCTGATCTCATGTTCGCGGTCATTGTGTCCTCACTCGAGAACAAGACCCCGGGATACTTGAACTCCTTCACTCGGGGTAAGGACTCATTCCCTACTGTCAAGTCCATCGGTTTCCTACTGAGAACCATGGCCTGAGATTTGGAGCTGCTTATCCTCACACTCAGCTGCGAGCACCAGTGAGATGAAGCCATCAGAATCACATCATCTGCAAAAAGCAGCGATGCAACCCTTAACCAACCCAACTTCAGCCCCCCTCCCCCCCTCCCCCACGACTACACCTTGAAATCCTGGCCATGAATATCACAGCATGATTGGTGACAAATACTTACTGTGTACATGCTTTTTTACATGGTAAATATTAATAATTGGCTTAATTTGAACATTAAGATGTGAATTATTTGGATTTTAAAAATAATAAGGAATTGAATTCTAATATTATTATATAAGATTATAGAGGAAGATTGACAGCAGAAATCTGTGTGTTTCATGTAACCACAGTGGTGTTGATTCAGTGATCCCAGGCTTTTATAAATGTGTCCTCTCACTGTTTAATGCCACTGTAATTTGATCACAAAACACACACACAGTCTTAGATCAGTGGGCATGCTTCTCTTCAGCCCCTCTGCTGTGGCTCCCTGTAACTTTGACGTGGAAATACATAACGGCTATTTTTATTTTTTTGCAAAGTGGACAATATTTTGAAAGGATCATATTCTACAATAAAATGTAAATGTTTTTAACTCAAATGCATCACATCCTACCTCGTCTAAGCCCTGGCACACGGGTGACCCATCCTGAGTGTCCGACCCCCGCATGCTCAAAGATCTGAGCATAGCAAATCTAATGTTGTCTTTGAACCACTGCTGATATTGTTGTTGCTCCTTGGAGCAAGGCGGTTAACAGTCGGAGAATACACAAACAAATGATTTATTAAATATGACAGCATATTTTCTTGACTTAGAAAACAAACGGGAAATTGTTCAGTGTTATGTCCCTCTTGGTAAAGACCATAGAACACAGCAACATGAGAAAAGGAACACATTGAGAACATTAGTTCACTCGCCTGAGTCTGAGTCAGTGAACAATACTGAATGGACAGCGCTGTTATGAAGATACTGACAGCTGTATGTGGCGGAGTCATAATTAAATCCAAACTGAACTATTCATATATTTACTCTTTTTCAAATGTACTCTTGCAGCTATATTATTCAGACTCAGCTCTCTGAGCTTAAGCTTCTTTTAAATGTTGATAAAACCAAGGTAATGCTATTTTCAAAAGCTAAAAAGACACCAGAGCCTGTTTTAGATATTGTTACTATGCAAGGACAAGTACTTGAAGTAGTTACCAGTTATAAATACCTAGGTATCTGGCTTGATGATTGTCTTACTTTTAAACTTCATGTCAATAACCTGCTTAAAAAGCTGAGGGTTAGACTAGGTTTGTTTTTCAGAAACAAGTCCTGTTTCTCTTTTGAAGCCAGGAAAAGGCTCTGTGACCTTTTTACCTGTGCTGGACTATAGTGATCTGATCTATATGAATGCACCTGCCTATTGCCTGAACATGTTAGATGCCGCCTATCACAGCGCACTGAGATTTGTCACAAATTGTAAAGCACTTACTCATCACTGTACCCTGTATGCCAAGGCAGGTCTGCCTTCACTTACTGTAAAGAGGCTCAGTCATTGGTACACGTTTATTTATAAAGCTTTGTTGGGTAAACTCCCGTATTATATCTGCTCTCTGATAACACAGAGAGTTGCAAGCAGCTATTGTCTGAGATGGCATGATGTGGTATTGTTAGATGTGCCAAGAGCAAGGACTGTCTCAGGTAAGACAGCTTTTATGTGCGCAGCTCCACTTGCTTGGAACAGTCTTCAGCAAGAATTGAAACTGAGCAATCTCATTCCTCTGCATGTTTTTAAAGCTAGGCTAAATGAAATGCTCGTTGATACTATGGGCACTTGTAAATGTCTATAACTATGTAAATGTATCCTGTAAATATAATGTATGATGTCCTTTATTGTTTTATGTTTCATGTGGAACCTATATGCTGCAGGTCTCCCTTGAAAAAGAGATCTATGATCTCAATGGGACCAATCTGGTTAAATAAAGGTTTGAAATGAAATGAAATGAATATGTTTTTGTATTTGCAAGTTGTCCATTTAAAAAAAAAAAATGTATTAGTCATGTGCAGAAGAACAGGCCTGCAGAGTTCTATTTTCTCAAGTATGCCTACACATGCTAGTGTATTTTTCTCCTCCTTAAAATAATTAGGTATTTTCTTTTGTAATAAAACTAGTAAGTTAAATTGCACAGAAGAAAACACACAATAACAGTTTTCTTTATTGTCATTCTATAAATTCATAAACAAACTATAGTTTTTCTTGGTATATTCAAACTTTACATAAAACATAATAAGCTGTTCTCAAATTATTTTGTTACTGTTCCAGAACATTTTTGAATTAGTGGAAGAGGGGGCCGAATGGCAGTTGGTAGCAGGCCCGGACTGGCCATGGGGAGCACCGGGAGGTTTCCCGATGGCCTGGCCTGTTAAGTGGCCTGCTGGCCTGAGGATTATTTTTTGTATGTATTGTGAACGCAACGCTGCGCAAATGTGGGTCTGACTCTGCCTCACAGAGGGTGACTGGCTGTCTACATGATGTGGCCTGCCGACATGGCCACTTTCATACAGATCATACACTAATGCCCTCGATTGGTCTCTGTGTGTCATTAAGCTCGGGAGGGTGTGTATGTGTGCGAGCGAACGAGAGAGAGAGCGTGCGCGCACCGGTTACGTGTATTGTTGCTGTTAGCATCTGGTGCTAGCTAGCTGCGCTAACGGATATAAGGAGCTGTTTCAACAACAAGGTGGAGGAGAGTCCTCTCCAGTCAGACTGAGAGGCTGATAACTACAGCTCAGGTGAGGTAAAGGACTCTCTGAGTGTTTAGATAGTTAACTTAGTCTAAGTTCTCTGTGGGTCTCAAACGGTTTGGTCACCATTTATGTAAACACATATTTCCATTTGAAGGGGGAGTGATTAGTAAAATATGCATGAATAATACAAAAACAATTTTTAACTAGGTGAAAAAAGGTAAGATAAACTTTTAAAACTTGTTGAGAGCTAAAACTAGTCTTTGCTGCTGCCTCAAAGAGGAGCAGAGGAGAGGAGGGAGACAGGAGAGGCTGGTTCAGGAGCACAGACACACTCACAACTATAAATGAACCAAAAACAAATAAATAAACAAGTTTCAGTGTTTTTTTCATATTGGATATGGTATGTTATTGGTTATGGCCATGTTCTTATGATTTTATGATTATTTAAATGTATACAGTCATGTTTCATATAGATCTAGTCTCTTTATTTCCCCCTCAAAGTGCACCAGATTGATGCATTTAAGTCCAACATTTAACAAACAAATCTTACCGGGGGAGAATGCCCCCGGACCCCCCTATAGAATTTGAGGTCCACCCCCACTTAAAATATGTTCACATGAATAGATTCCTAAATAGATTTTTACATTTTTTTAAATAGTGACCCATGTCCATATGTTTATTCTGGGGTAGTAGATTTAAAGTTTAGGGCTATCACTACGGGCAGCAAGGCTGTAAATATTGACAAATAAATCCAGAAAAATGGCACAAAAAAAAACTGGTAGTGGCCTGGCTGGGTGTATAATTCCCGGCCTGATTTATTGTCCCAGTCCGGCCCTGGTTGGTAGTAAAGGTTGCTGACCCCTGTCTTAGAGGTTTTTCTCTCCAAGTGTCCAAGTTCAGGATTGGATCAACATTGTTGTGTTATGGTGGATTATTCTGCACAGAAGGACCCACAGTTTAAAGCACTCCCATACTTCAAAGTAAGTCTGTGATAGCAGAGAATGCTGTCAGAGGCTTAAACAAACTTTAGAGGCTCGGAGCTTCAATTGTGATGACACACCCAGGTCTTACCTCGGATTAAACTGCCTTTTTTCAGGATGCAGGAAGAGAGGGGCAAGTTCTTCATTTTCCATTCCAAACTGTAAACTGTTGCTCGCACATGCATTATATTACCTTGACTTTAGCTGTGATGCTGAGTGGGGTGTTCCCCACTGCCTCCGTGTACACCTTCTTCTCGAGATGAGCCTCTGCTCCCACCAGGTTGTTAAAGTTGGTTGTTAGGTGGCGTCTCAACAGTGTTTTCTCCGGTGGGATGTTTAGCAGCATGGCCAGCGTTTCTGGGTTAAACCGAGGCTCCAACATCTAGAGTAAAGACACATTTAGGAGGCTTTCTGGAGCATTTCCTTAAACTACAAACAAGTGATATTGTGCACTCACTAGCAGCCCTCCATGCACGCCACTGCCCCTCAGGTTCGGAGCGTACTCTGCCAGGTCCACAGATCTTAACCACTCCATGACTCTGTGGTTGGACCACTGGACAACCTCACTTGGAGCCAACTGGTTCTGTAAAACACACACACACACACACACACACACACACACACACACACACACACACACACACACACACACACACACACACACACACACACACACACACACACACACACACACACACACACACACACACACACACACACACACACACACACACACACACACACACACACAATCACAAACACACACAGAGACATGCACACACGCACACAAACAAATATGCTCAAATTTAACAAAACAAATGAACAAGTAGAATAAACACTGTAAATTAATATTTCAAAATATCATTTAATAAAAGTGTAAAGTCTTGATTGACAGCCAGAGTTGTGTTGTTTCCAAACAACACGACTCTCACACAGCAAACACACCTACCTGATTGCTGGGCCTGCGTTTGAGGCAGTTGGAATTGAACTTGTTGACATGAAGAACATGAATGGCACTCTTGAGGCTGAGGTGATGCAGCTGGCTGGTCACTTTAAGGAATAACAATTCATTCTGAAAAGAAAAGAAGAAGTACAACAAAGAAAACAGACAAAGAGCATTTAGTCTCAGTATAAAAGTTACTGGTATGTTAACTTTAATCCATAATGCAAACATGTGTTTCAAATCCTTGTGTTATCCAGAAAATAAAGCAGAATTTGATGAATCCTGGTTTACCTTTAAAGCAATGTACCAATCAGCTGTTATTCGATCAAACATTTGATGAATATTGAAAAACATACCACAGTGAGGAACTGCAGCATCTGCCCATCAACTCTGCCTTCATTAAACTGGTCTTTGTATTGAGGGAGCCCGATGTCATCAAGCCAACCTTTGAAACATAAAATATTCCGTTTTAATGTAAGGCAACTTCAGATTCATATTTTATTATGAGTGTGTGTTGTAAGTGCGTACGAGTGACCCAGATGTAATCGAGCTCTGCAGACTTATCAGGCTGTTTGCTGCTGATCGTCTTGATGGCCAATTGGAGCTTTTTCCTGTGGAGCGGATTCTTTATCGCCGGCTCCTGGAGACACAGCGACGGAAAACATGTCTTCACCTTTTGAGAGATACTTAAAAGTAGCAATACTAAATTGTTTAAATATTCTGTTCCAATAAAAAGTCCTGCATTCAAAATCTTACTTAAGTAAAAGTATACAAGTATCAGCATCAAAATATACTTAAAGTACCAAGTAGTTCGAGCTTTTTAAAGTAACTTTATATACCGCTGCTGGATATCTTAACGATTATTATAAGTCAATGTTTATTTAACAGATGATTCATATTTTGTGTTAGCTAATATTCTGAATATGTAAAGTAATTCAAGCAAAAATGAGATGGAGTATAATGTAGCATAAAATAAAAATACCAAGTAAAAGTACAACTACCTCAAAATTGTACTTAAGTAGGACACTTGAGAAAAGGTACTTCGTCATTTTCAATCATTGAATATTAATTATTAATTATTGTGGTTTTTGAATTCCTTATTTTACCTTTACTTTACCAGGATAGGTCTCATTGAGATACAAATCTATTTTCTAAGAGAGTCCTGGCCCAAGATAACACAATCACAATCATAACCCAATCACAGTCAGAACAAGACCAGCCAAAGCATTTACAGACCCAGCAGCCTGCTTCAGAGTCATTTCGAGTCACTTTGAGTCTGTTTACAGAAACCAGCTGTTAACGCTATCAATGTGAGCCAATTTAGACACTTAAGTATTACAGGAATGCACCACATCATAAAACATAAAAATGTGTTCTTTATATATAAAAACTAAATACATGTAGTGGAGTAAAAGTACAATGTTTGCCACTGAAATGTAGCAGAGAAAATAAAATGGTAAAGTACTAGTATTTTAAAGACATGCTTAAGTACAGTACTTGAGTAAATGCACTTCGTTACATTCTACCACTGCTGAAATCCTAAAGATTCACCTGATAAAGAAAAAAAATGAGTGTCACAATTTTAGTTTTGTCTGTCTAGCTGTGGTTTTATTTTGAAATTCTGTTCTCCCTGTCTCTTGTCTTCCTTCATGTGTTTGCCCTCCTGTGTCTGATTGTCTCATTGTGTTCACCTGTTGCCCTTGTGTTTCTGCCTCCTCTGCCCAGCTGTGTCTTGTCCAGTGATTACCCTTCTGTGTATTTAGTCTTGTCTTGTGCTCCATGTCGGTTCGTTCTCTTTCCTGTCATATTTTGTCACTATCGGGTTTTGTCTGGATGCTACCTCGTGCTACCTGTTTATAGATTCATGGTTTTTGTTTTGTTTTTCATTGTCAACAGCTTTTTGTAATTAAAGCTCGCCTTTTGTTACACTCTGAATCCCGCTTCTCCTCAAACTGCATTTGAGTCCTAATAATTCCGAATCCCGACAGAGAGTGAATTAACTAATTATGATCCTGGTGACATAGAAACAGAGGCTAGGGGTCTAAGGTGAGCAATCTGAGCGTGATAAAGGAGGTAAGCATCATGGATCAGCCAGGTAGGAGCGAAACAGATTTGACAGGCTGAATGGAAGATTATTTGTGAGGTAGACCAACAGATCCAGACAGATGCATTAATTATGAAAAATGCAGCATACACAGTAGTTGGTCTGCATGTGTGTGTGTCTGTCAGTGTACCTTCTCTATGTCTTGCATGGTGGAAGACAGTAGAGTATCACCACTGGTGACCCAATGGCAAGCGAGGACGCCATACTGGCCGAGTCCAATTTCCTCCAGCCAGTCACACACCTGCTCTTTGCTCCACTTACAAAAAGGCATCTTCAGATCTCTGACATGGAAAAAATAAAAAAAAGATCAACAGAGAATTATGTTTAAAGATTAGACTAATGGACCTGGAGCCACATACCGTTTTAAAGTGTAGGACTCAAGCTAATATTAGCCGTTTTGTGTTCCAAAAAAAAGCCCACAATCGAGTGTGTAGCGGAGTGCTCACTTTGTGAAACATTAACCTGTTAAACCCAGAGCCTGTTTTTCAGGTCTCAGGCTCGAAAATGACATTCCCAGAACAAATGACCATATCTTCCCTTCTAAAAGGGTTAAATTAATAATATTTTTTCTCAAAGCAAGATTACACCTGTGAGTTGGATGTAGAAGTGTCAGAATCAATATAGATGTTTTTATTTTAAAGTAAATTCAGATTGAACATAGTAAAACAAATTCAATTATTGTTAATTACTTATAGTGAAAACCACCCTTGAATGATGGGATGGTAGACTAAAAGCTTTAGGAATTCAAACTACAACATATAAGTACCCTGTATCAAGATTGATGCAAAACAAGTGAAATTATACCCTTTTAGAGAGATTTAGCAAAAAAAACCTATCTCTGGCCCCCCCTTGTTCGATTTTGCTGACTGACATCTCTTTCTAACCGTCAGAGCCAATGGAATAGAGGGGACCTCCCACATACTCCTTATTTGGTAATGTGTGTGTGTGTGTGAGACTGCCGCATAGCCAAGACCGGAAGCTGCGATAACTCTGTTGGCTACCATTAGCAGCTAACTTTTACTCTCCGATTTTTACATAAAAATGGAATTATGGACTATAAATAAAACAAATTATTACCCAGAAACATTATCAACCTATGGATTAACCGATTCAGCCGCGGTTTTTCTCGTTTTAATGCCATTGAACACGTCTTTTGATCAGATTGACAGCTGGGTCATTCTACAGAAAAGGTGGAATCTGGGTGATACAAATCTGCTGAAATATATTCCTTCTAAAAACATCTAAAACCTGTTAAATAGCAATAACTAACTCTTAACTTGATGAATCCACAACAAGTAGAGCTTAAAATATTTTTTATTATTTTTATACTTTATACAAAGCTTATTTGTATAGGAATGTCACTGGTGTTACGTGTTTCCAGGAAGAAGAGTAACACTAGTGACGGTAACACCAGTGACAATTTGGAGAAAACACTACCATTTTAACAAAATGGCTGCAATGTGTCAGACCAAATATGGCTTCAGTCAATATCAAAATCGTTTAACTCTTTAACAATACATTTTCCCATTCAAATGTTCACCCCTAGGGCTATGCAATGAGTAACACTAATGACAGACTTGAAAGACGCATGTAAAATTTGAAGATAAAATGACACCTTTAACAAACAAAGTAAGAAGTATCTGACTTATGTCTTTGTCCACTGCACTGCCTCAAATGATCTCTTGTTACAGGAGGCACTTCAGAGACAGTACATTACTTCAAAATAAAAGCATTTTGTGTAGCAGTAACACCAATGACGTAATTTTGGGTGACTGACATTTATTTGATATTATTAATAATAATTAGAGTTTATTTTTTACCATTTCAGTGTTATATTTAATGCTTGTAATGTTATGTAAATATCAATTAGATTTATTTATTGAAAAAATAATCTTTTAAATGAAAACTATAGGCTCCACTTCCATGTATGATCAAAGTGACAAGGCAGTTCCTTGAACTTGACATTTTAAATAAATTGCAATTTACGTATAAAACCATTTTTTATTTATTTTTGATTTAGTACCATTGCAAAGACAATCTCTATTTATTCAACATATATAATGAATGTGAGTATTAGGTCAATGTCATGTATTTGTGTGTCTGCAAAAGTAAGTGACAGAACTTCCACCTTTTCTGTAGAATGACCCAGCTACGGTGAGAGGATCTCCCGTAAAAGCAACGTAAAGGTACGTGTTGTGATGTCTGTGTTTGCTTCCCCTCTCGCGAGTTCGGATCACTTAGTGATGATATATATACCTAAATGATCTGTGGAACCTCAGCTTTAATCAGATATATTGTATGTGCAGCTACGATAAGTAATAAGGGTATCTTTTATCTTGAGTTCTGTGCCAAAGTCCGTTAGCATTTTTCGCTCAGGGGTCATTTAGATGCTTCTTATGAGACTTGTGTTTTTGTTTTGGTAAACATGGTTTGTATCGTCAGTTAGCTGAGATTATTCCCGTTAATCTGGTATAACACATTAATAGGTTCTTAAATATTAAGATCCCCTGAGACCAGTAGCGTGGCGTGGGGAAAAAATTAGGGGAAGCCAATAATACGTCCTTTCTTTTGGGTCGGGGGTGTGGTGGTCAATGTAATAACGTAACCAGATGAGTGATTACAGCACCCGGTATCATTTTACACACATTTGTATCAGATGCAGGACTGTTAGCCTGTTATCTAACCGACAGGTCCGCACGCACTCTCCAGCCCAAACTCTAATAAGCATTCATTCACAAACTAAATCAGGAGACCTTTAACGTTTTACGTCTGATTCGCTCCTTTTTTCCTCGCTGTACACAGCTCCAGTTTGGGCATTGGCCTGTCATCAGATTGTATTTGTTGTTGCTGCTGTAGCGGAAGTTTAATACAATTATTTTTGAGTAAATACTCCACATCTCCACCCTCCATAATTGCACTTGCTTCAGTTGCTTGCTGCTTTCTAACGGCGGTGAGAGTGGTGCAGTGACGCTATCTATCTTCCATCGATTCGATTTATGATTAGAAAATGATAAAAGTAGGGTAGACATGTGGATATTATCCGACTTAACAAAACATGCATTTATCTAACAGGTTCGTTTTCCACTGACCTTATTTCAAGCTATTTTCCAAAATTCTATGGAGAAATCCCATTGCTTTTTTGTCGAGGGAAACCGAGCGCAGCTTACTTCCGGGTTTTAGGACGCGTCACTGCCACACTAAATTGATGCGATTGTGAGGCAAGGGAAGCCAGCCGCCTTGGTCTTCCCTTGGCATGGCCCTGACTAATCACAGGTTGGCAGGGGCATGACATGAGCCTCATCTGATTGGTCAATCCCTCCATTTTTTTTCACCAAGGGAAGCCAATTTCTGCTGGCCTCCTCTCGCAACAGAGAGTGCAATCTACTGTTTTACCATAACATGTAGAGGGGCGCTGTTTCACTCTTTGTAAAATACTCAATGAGAATGGAGGAGAGACGGGCCGGCAGCAACACACAGCACAAAAAAATTACCGAAACCAAACTAAGTGTTTTTATTTATTTATTAAAATTATAACTACAATCCGAAAAAACAGGGGAAGCCTGGCTTCCCTTGGCCTCCAGGAAAACGCCACTGCCTGAGACACAGTGTCGTGAACAAAACAAAAAAAGGACCCGCCGAGGGAGTCATTGGGGCTTAACAGGTTTTAAGAGGAACATCCCAAACATTGAGAGTAGAGGCTTCCAGTGCTCCCCTGAAGTCTTAGAGTGATAAACATTTGAAAGAAAAGCTGTTGTGTGAATGTCATTGGTTATCCAGGCTTCCTAGCATCTCTAGAAACAGCTGAATAATATCTGAAAGAGGGCAGAGCCTAAGCCCAGGATTTCATCAAACATATTATCTAGACAATATCACTGCTGTTGTATGACAGATTAGCTGTGCCCCCTCGACTTTTTCACCATGAACACCTACCGGAATGTGTCTGAATGAGTTCACTGCTCGGTTTGACAGCACCAGGACAGTGATGTAGGGAGATCAAATTCACACTCACCGGGAGCAACATCCAGTGTCTGTCCGGATGATCTGCTCGATCAAAGTGGCTTTTTGCTCTTTGTTATGAAGGACAACTTACAGACACGTAAAAAAAAAGTGAAAATATTTTCAATTGGATGTGCTGCAAAAAAGGCGAGTGTGGAGAAAAGACCCCGGCGGTCAGAAGAAGACGCTATGTGAACATGGAGCCTTACTGGAGGGCTACGGGGCTTAACAGGCTAATAACTGTTCATCCTCAAGGTCTTTAGAAGGCACTGACCAAATTTGAAACTGACAGATTAAAACTGTCGGATGTGTTTTGTTTGTATACCGGCTGAAAAAGTCAAACAAATATGCCAAAAAATCACACTAAATAAAAAAATTCTAACTGGCCGAATTCTTGTTGGTTTTAGAGAATGAATACCGTATCAGTGATGCAGAAAATCTGATCAAGCGTACTGTTTTATGTTATTGTTATTTTAAAGGAAGTTACATTGTACACACCTTTTTCACTTTTTCCTCCCCCTACTAAGTGTGTATTTAGTTGTATTATACAGTATAATAGTCTTCTCTGTGTATTTCTCCACATTGGCTCTCAAAAAGAAAATCCTACAAATTTGCATGGAGCATACATCAATAATGTGCTATATTTTTCATCAGTATGATGTTTACTTGCATATGAAGTGCGGTAAAATTCCTTCCAACCCTGATTTCCCCACTTTGGTCGTTTTTGTGACTGATTTGCTAAAGTGTGTTTTAAACGGCTTGTATAATGCAGCTTTAACAGATTCTCAGTCTGTTGGTACATATCCCAAATAATAATAACAAATTGATTCAAGTGTTAGACCCAAATGCAGTTCTTGAGTATAACATTTAAATCTGCTGCATCAAGTTTAAAGTTTAAGAACTGCATAATGTGCAATTGTCAAGTTAGAATTAAATTGGAGGCACAGATTGCATCGAGTGTACTTCAAATAAATAACATTTTACAGGAATACTACATTTCTTCCAGTATTCCTTTCTTATTTGCATTATAAGAAAAATCAATATTGTAACAAGGCATAACTCAGTGGTCATTGATCGTTTTTCATGCTGTAGAAGAGGCAGGTGATGCACCTATTATTTATGAGAACATGCATGGAGGCTCAGGAAGGAATCTGGGTAAACAGAGAGACCTAACAACCACCTTTACCCATTACTTTAATCAGGGGTTTTATTTGTGTCAAGCCAGCTAAGTCAAAGAAACCCTGGCTCTGTTTAACAGGCTTGTTAAACATGTACCTCCTTCCAAACATACACAATGCACCAGCCTTATTTGTTTTTACTTGCTTCTCAGGGATCCATGAAAAAAAAATCTATATACTGTATGTAAGTATAAATGTGTTATACCGTGGGTTCCCTGAACGGGCCAGTCTTGGTCCAGCTGTAGCTCGGAAACCCCCCCTCTTGAGCTCTCCCAGCTCGGGGTCGTGACCCTGGGCAGGACTGCCTGATTGGCTGTGACGCATCCTGGGGACAACAGAAACACTTTGTTTTAGGGGAAATATATCCCTGAACGTCACATCTGTGTGTGGTGTCTGTATGTATATATATATAACAGAGAAGTCTTTAAAACATACTTCCCCCAGAGTTTCCTAATGCCTCTCTGACTCTTCCTGTTCTCTGGTGAGACAGGAGATTGCTGTCCAGAGTCCACTCCAGAGGAAAGGGGGGACTGATCTGACAGAACACACTCCTTAAGTTTTTCTGGTTGATCTGCCAGACAAAAACACAAAAAAGAACAATGACCCTAGAGTTCAAACCACACTATGCCATATGGTATAATCAACAGATTTCTTGGAAACGCTAATAATGTAAAGCTGCACATTCATAGTTTTGATATTTATAGTAGTGGATGGTAAACTTTTTGGCAGATTCCACTGATTCAGGAAGTGTTTTAGTCTTCTCTATGTTTGGTTTATTTGTAAGAGAGATCTGATAAACACAAAACACACTTCCTGTCATGCACCAAACAGCAGGAAGGTTGGTAAGAGACAATGCATGCAACCCCTAAATGTTGCTTTATGTCTGATGGGATATGGAAACATGATCGTTTTTAGCCGGTTCCTGAAATATTTCAATTGATCGATTGATGACCAATAAAGTTGTTCTGAATGATCCTAGCCTGCACATTCAGTATCCATCATTAGATGTTATTATGTTAGACAGAAATGTATGCATCCTTTCTTTGTTAATACAATAATGCATTTAAGAACTGACAAACACTGGGGTTCAGATGCAATACCCACCAATATCACAGTGGTCATGTTTTCCGGGGGATCCTGTGGCAGAGGAGGCACAGTAAGTGAAGTGAAAAAAGCAGGCAGAAATATTGCAATACAAGTCTACAACAATATGTGCAGAAACACAATATACCATTTTTTTAATTAAATGTTTCTCCAAAACAAATGTCATCACATCACTGTTGGGGGAAATACATAACGGAGGATACATCAGTGTATCCTCGGTTATAGCTCCTCCAGAGAGCCTCCTCTCTCCTCTACATCAGTGTATCCTCGGTTATAGCTCCTCCAGAGAGCCTCCTCTCTCCTCTACATCAGTGTATCCTCCGTTATAGCTCCTCCAGAAAGCCTCCTCTCTCCTCTACATCAGTGTATCCTCCGTTATAGCTCCTCCAGAGAGCCTCCTCTCTCCTGTACATCAGTGTACCCTCGGTTATAGCTCCTCCAGAGAGCCTCCTCTCTCCTCTACATCAGTGTATCCTCGCTTATAGCTCCTCCAGAGAGCCTCCTCTCTCCTCTACATCAGTGTATCCTCGGTTATAGCTCCTCCAGAGAGCCTCCTCTCTCCTGTACATCAGTGTACCCTCGGTTATAGCTCCTCCAGAGAGCCTCCTCTCTCCTCTACATCAGTGTATCCTCGGTTATAGCTCCTCCAGAGAGCCTCCTCTCTCCTCTACATCAGTGTATCCTCGGTTATAGCTCCTCCAGAGAGCCTCCTCTCTCCTCTACATCAGTGTACCCTCGGTTATAGCTCCTCCAGAGAGCCTCCTCTCTCCTCTACATCAGTGTATCCTCGGTTATAGCTCCTCCAGAGAGCCTCCTCTCTCCTCTACATCAGTGTATCCTCGGTTATAGCTCCTCCAGAGAGCCTCCTCTCTCCTCTACATCAGTGTATCCTCGGTTATAGCTCCTCCAGAGAGCCTCCTCTCTCCTCTACATCAGTGTACCCTCGGTTATAGCTCCTCCAGAGAGCCTCCTCTCTCCTGTACATTAGTGTATCCTCCGTTATAGCTCCTCCAGAGAGCCTCCTCTCTCCTCTACATCAGTGTATCCTCGGTTATAGCTCCTCCAGAGAGCCTCCTCTCTCCTCTACATCAGTGTACCCTCGGTTATAGCTCCTCCAGAGAGCCTCCTCTCTCCTCTACATCAGTGTACCCTCGGTTATAGCTCCTCCAGAGAGCCTCCTCTCTCCTCTACATCAGTGTATCCTCGGTTATGGCTCCTCCAGAGAGCCTCCTCTCTCCTCGATCCTTGATCCTCGATGTGCATTGAGAGAAGATTAGATGTATTTCAAGATGGTGTGCAGTGTTGCAAAAAGTGCCAAGTTGAATTGCAAATTGGGTGCAGAGCTGACAATGCGTTTCGAGTTTTGGAGATTTGAGCTGAAGTTGTGTGCTTTGAGTATCAGTTTAAATAATGATACTTTATGTGTAAATTAAAACTATAAGCACTTGCTTGATTTGCTCTTCCTGGGAGTGAAAGTACGCTTAGTGAAGCAAAGTTGGAAGTCAGGTTGCATCTTTGTTTATTTACTGTGGATGTCTAAGCTATTTTAACGGCATGCAACCTCATGCTTGAACTCCTCGCCATCTCGCAGCCCTCTGAATCCACTGCTTCGAGCTCTGCTCATGAGTGATGAAGAAGTCCTTTAATCTCAATTTTGAGTTGCTTGATGCCTTTTTATAAAAATAACTGACTGGAAAATATTATTTCAGTCAGACAACTCACGTGTTTCTTTAACATGTTTATTAGAAGCAGCATAGTTGAGTTTGGCGTCTAGGCTCTGGTCTCATCACTCCACAGATATACATAGCACCATGAGTGATGATTAAATAACTAACCCCCGAGCCTACAGGTGGAAGCTGGGGTGGTGGTGGGGCAGCGAGCAGCAGCGACGTAGAGGTAGCTGCAACATTGTGCAACGATAGCAGCAGCAAGCAATGCATGGAGAGAGATCTGGCAGGTTCAATAGAGCGGCGTATTAAGGAGACTCTGTTTGGTTGGTTGTAGAGTGGCAAGGGGCGTTATGTATGAATGCAGCATAAGTGCTCGAGTTGACTGCCTGAACTAGCTCGCAGGCTTCGCCCCATTTCAGTCAAAAGAGCTACACGATTATTTATAATCAGAGCATTAATTGATTTAATTTATGCAAGTAGTAGGAAGGAAGCAGTAGGAGTTCAAAACGGGCCTTAAGACCCTCTTCTTTCAGCAGGCCTTCCAATAAACTTTGAGCATGGTACACCTGGAGTATTGCCATGTTTATCGCTATCTCCGACTTTTATCTTATTTTTTTATTTTTTATTATTATTTTTTTAATCTTTCAAATTGTATCAGTGTCCTTTGCTGTGAAGCGCTTCGAGATTTGTCTTGGCAGATGAGAAGCGCTATATAAATTAAATGTATTATTATTATTACACTAAAGGGTCTCTCCAAGGACACATCTCCCCCTTAGCCTCAGTGGTATTTTAATTTGGTGGTTTTAATTGCACTGCAAGAGAGTTACCAAAATTGAGGCAAAGTCAAATTAGTATGTAGTTCTTAGAGCAGTGAAAAATTAGGTTTGAAAAACGGCACATTTGCAGAAAACAACAAGCTTTTTAAAAAAATATAGGTGTCTTTATTGGAGGTGCTGGCACGGACGTAGGACAAGAGGTGGAGCTGAGATTGGCAGAGTTGAAGCTGCTAAGGTATGAGCATGCAGATGTAAAAGACTCGAGGAGACGAAGACAGATGACCTGCTAACAGAGGCCGCCAAAAGGAGAAGGAGATTGTGATCCCTTTGGCCGGTCTTGGATTCTTCAATGAGGAAATATCTGGTAGTCAGAACACCGGTTCCACATTTTATTTCCAAAGTCTTAATCACATTTTAAGTCCGCTTAGATCAAGTATTAGACTTGTACATTGTTTTCATTGTTCTTGCATACGGCTCAATGTCAAACTTACTCTGACAGACTCGACTCTCAACACCTTTCATTAAAACATTTTCTTTTTTCAGAAGTAGAAAATACTGAATTTTCCAAATTGTGACAGGCAGTAGACAAAACACTGTATGATTTAAAGATGTATCAGTGATGAATGGAAAAACTCACTGAGACCGTAGTCCTCCTGCAGGACAGGAGACAAATACTCTTCTTCTCCCTCTCTGTCGCCATGCTTCCTGGCTCTCTGCTCTCTCTTATTTATCATGAGTTTCCCCGGCAGAGTCTGGTACTTGCTCAGCTCCATGTGAGGATTCTAAAGAGTATATAACAAAACCAGTGTGTCATTTGTCTGGTCTCGAACCACATTTCAAATAAATGACCCACATGTCTGTGAAAGTATAGTAACAGAAGTGAACTAGTCTTTCATGCAAGATCTCACAATTCACTGATCCCTGCTTCGAAAACAAAGATACAATGATATTCTGGTATTTATCTGCTTCAGCTATGGGATGTTTTAAGCGTATTGAACTGATTTGAAATATAACCCCTTTATATTTCCATAAAGGCTGGGCAGTCTCATTTAAATGTCTTTCATAAGATAACAGAGAGTTAAAGCCTTTGATTTGTTACATGGAAACATCTGGGAGGCAGCCATGATACCGAGCACAACTGTCACTTCAAGTGGGGATTGGCCCTTTCTGTGTGTGTGTGTGTGTGTGTGTGTGTGTGTGTGTGTGTGTGTGTGTGTGTGTGTGTGTGTGTGTGTGTGTGTGTGTGTGTGTGTGTGTGTGTGTGTGTGTGTGTGTGTGTGTGTGTGTGTGTGTGTGTAGTCAAATATTGGCTCAGATCAGTCTCAAAATAGATAAATGCTGACAGAAGGATAAACAAATGTAATTTGCGTAAAACCGCTTTTTGAGAGTGAATCTGATTTTTGAGACTCTCCTGACGTCGCTAGATTCACCGATGCATTTTTCTAAAGAGGGGAGTGTCTGTAGCCAATCAGATGTCTGCTTCATTTTAAGCTAATCACATGATTGCATCCTCACGAGGGGTGTGCCATTGAACCACTTCCGCATTAGAGTAACTCTGCTGACTGCCTCATGGACTAATAAAGAGAAACACGTACAGCTCTGAGTTAGCAGATCAGCATTCACGCAATCACAGATTAAAAGAACATGAATGTTTATTCTTTATTTATATGTATCTCAATAAATATATCTATATAAATATATAGTTTATATTAATGCAATAGTCTTTCTTGATGATAACTTAATTATCTTGTAGAGCTGCCGCAAAAGATATGGTGGTTCAAAAAAGGCTCATCTATGAAATATATATATAAACCAACCTTTTGTAATGATCCACTCTGCAATTCTTCAAGACTGCTGGAAAGCAACCTGCGTTGATGCCTTGAAAGTTAGAAAATAATAAATGGATGCCACCATATCACTTCTTGATTTCATATATTATGATGACTGTCTAGAATTTGAGTCCATTGAAAGCAAACAAAAGTCTGCGCTGTTAAATAAACGAACATAAAAAGTTTCGACTCACCATGACCCATTACAAAAGCTTGTTTCCCCAGTGGACACCAGTGATGTGTCCAGAGAGTCATGGATACTACAACAAATGGCACACAAAGGTTCAGATGAAAGGGATTACATGACATGTCACTTGTTAGACGCTTTTATCCAAAGCGACTTACATTCAGTACTGTGGACAAACCCCACAGGAGCAATTTGGGGTGAAGTGTCTCGGGGACACAACGACATGCTGGCCCAATCCCAAACCACTCCCTCGACCCTACCCCTCCGTGACGGAGTGAACTCCGTCTGTAGCCACACTCGCAGCTCAACGAGGCTCCCTCCTGTCAGATGGAGGGAGTAAATACAGCAGCAAGCTTTGGGACGGCCTCCCCTCTCTCCGGCAGAAACAGGAAATGCCGTAACTGTATGTAACAACGGTTTCAAATCAGCATCTCTTAGACAAAAAGTTTAAATGAATAACTCAAATAAAACTCCAAACATCTTTCATTGTGTTACTTTTTTGTAAAGCTCTTTTAGTTTTAAACCAGATGTTTATAAGCTAATAGACTTAACTCCGCGTGAACGCGCAAGCGGAGGGGTAGGGTGTAGGGGGCGGTTTGGGAATGGGCAGATGACTGCAGTGGGACTCAAACTTGCTACCCTCTGATTCAAAGTTCAGTGCACTATCCACTGAGCCACAGCCTCCTGGGATAGTTTGGATGTTTTAAAATGTGTAGTTCTTTAGTGTATCACCTCCAGCAGAGTGATTGAAACTAGATATGGGTGGCTGGAAAAGGCCCCTCTTGATTTAGGAGGACGATATATTTAGAATGTTTTCACTGCTTGTCCTTGACATCAAACAGCCTTTTCAGTCCCACAACAAGGCTGCACTTCCACACCAGGGCTGTGTGATGGTGAGGTCAAGCAGTGAACATTGTTTACATATGTGTACACTTGAACTTTTTTAGAAGGACCTTTTCCTTTGAAATAACATTACATGTCATTTAGCTGACCCTTTTATGCAAAGCAACAAGCAAACACTTTCAATTCCTACAGGAGCAATTAGAGGTTTAGTATCTTGCCCAAAGATCTGGAGGGACTGGGGATCACTGACCCTCTGATTCCAAACCACAGCCACTCCTTTTGTAAGTGAGACACGTTTCGTCCACAGCAGTACATTGCTGAGCTCCTGTGCTCTAGCTGTCTGTTTCTCTTAATTAGTGGAGTGCTGACCGCCATCGATGCTAGGTAAAACACTGAAATGGATAAGCAACTTGTGAGATGCTGCATGTGTATTTTGAGTGTTTATACCTAGAATCAAATCCTCTCTGGTAGGGGGAAGAAGATAGCACAAATGGAGAAGATGACAGCGATGACATCTATGCAAAGGCAAAACACAATTTAGTTCATTTACTTTTGTAAATGTGTAGGGGGGTCCATTTTCAGAAAGCCGTTTTACAGGACATGAATCCTGTAGGATGATATGCAAAGTGAATGGAATGTAGGTTGGAAAAAAGTTTATACTTAATCTTCTTACCTGTGACCTGACAATATCAGAGTGTGCTTTATGTGTGAAGGCTCTGACTCCTGAACTGCCACTTAGATCCACATCACTACTCCCTGGTTAAACACAAACTTGATACATCAAAAAACACAAAGAAAACCTGTATCTTACATTGTACTTCATCCAAACCTCCTATTGCACAAGAGAACATGATGTCATTCTTACCCTGTGTGAGTGCCATGACTTCCCTCATCTTTCTGTATTGGCCAAGCAGAATGGTCAGCTCCTCTATACGTCGCTCCTGTTACCAGCAATACACACATATATAAATCAAGTAAAATAAGGGGACCAATTATTTTTCTTCAAAATAACTTTGAAACGGAACATTAAAGAAATATTTGTCATGGTAATAGTGGTAAACCCAGTTTCATTTACCTTTTCATCATTTGAAGCTAACAAAGACTCCATCCCAACCTTCAGCCTCTGGTATTCCTGGTCTAACAAGGCAAAAAAGGAGGGGTGAAAATTACATTTTGTCGTATCGCAGTAAGCACAAGTCTCTGTAATTTAGGGCATGTGATGGGAGCCTGTCGGATGTTGGCAACAGACATGACTGCCATGCTAATGTGAATAAACAAGCAAAACAAATGCATAGTGACAGCACGACTGGCCACACACAATCACCTGTGACACACACACTGCACATTTTCAGGGATAGAATTGTTGCTGTGTATTGCTTCAATGCAAATACCAACAATCTGAGTAATCCTGTGGATTCCTAAAGGAAATATCTAAAATAAGCTCTTAAAATATTGTCACAAAACACACACACAGCTGAACCACATGCCATTTCATATCCTTTCAAATGCAAAAACACATCTTGAGAATGAACTACAACAATCTTACACTATAGCTTTGAAGGAGCTTTGAAGATTAATCTTGGGATACAAATTAAGAACAAAAACCAAACCTACAGCTACAGCAATTATGAGGAGGGGGGTGTTAACGTAAAAGATGCAATTGATGGCATTGTGGTAAAACATATAAACCTTTTTGCAGACAGCAACAATGGGGTTTGTGTATGGTTCTGCCGGAGCGAGAGAGATTGACAGCACTGTGTAATGTCAGCTAAATATGCAGAGCTTTTCTATAGTCTCCTAAATTCACAATTAGTCCGGATTAGTCTGGTAAAGCCTTAATAAGTAGCATTTCTAATTTGATTTAAAATATACCACTTTCTGGAGAGTAGCCATTGTATAAGTGGGACAAAATCCTCTATGTATTTATTCATTCCATGTTTCACTACTCAACACTCATAAAACTATTGGAAAATCATGTTAACCAGACCGGTTTGAAAGGATTGAGAGACTTATCGACATTGGTTTAAAGAAACAGGAAAGTTTACGACAACCAACACAAAATGAAACCAAACACTCCACCACCATAAACCTAATGATGAGGCTAAAAGGCTTAAACATGTTTATGTTCTGGATTTGTTTAGATTTGAACTGATATCACAAAAACGATCAACAACATTATACTGAATAATTATATGTAACCAACTAACATATCTTGACAAAATGGTTGTTACATAGCTTATAGAGCAGTTTGGTTGAAAATGAGACCAGTTAAAACAGCACACCATGCCTTACATTTGTTTATCAGCTGCCTGATATACTCCTCCTCTACAGTAGGTGTCAGCAAAGAGTCAGATACAAGTCAAGCAAAGGAAAGAGACATGTTGATTAGATGATTCAGTAATGTGGTCAGTCAGCTGTGTACCTCTCTCTGTGTTTTCGTCAGCTCTTGCCATCAGTTGTGTCTGCAGATATTCGATCTCAGCGTCTTTGGAGGCCAGGAGTTGCTGCAGCTCTGATATGTCAGCCTGTGGAGAAAGAGTACACGTATATGAACTGTAGTAGTATTTCAGGTTTCATTTACAGGTCGATGTCATTTATGTGAGAGCCACATCGAGTCAAGTAGAATCAAATGTGATTTGTCAAATCTTTGGGCTGATTTAATTTCAAAGCATGGTTAGCTGTTAATAATGTATATGCATCTCCTCAAAACCCACTACTACACAATGGGACAAAAAAACAGGTACTGAATGATTCCATATTCAATCAAGGTAGGGCTAGAACTCTGAAAGCTCAGATAGGACTTTCCAAACCATGTGCGAAAATCCCCATTCCAGCACATTCACACCAGGCTTTATTTTGCAAGAAAATAGATTTGTATTATTATTATTTTATAACCTTTACCTTAAAGGTCCCATGTCATCACCCGTCCCCTTGTGTGTTATGTAGCTTTTTCTGCATGTAAACGGTCTGCAGTCACAAACCCTCAAAGTACACCCTGTAGGGAGTAAAACTCTTTTCTCTTTTTCCATTGTTTACTTCTTGGGTATAGTGACGTATTTCGGGTATAGTGACGTAACTTAACGGCTCCGCAGATTGGTCCAAATAGACCAATCGTTACGTCCGCGGAGCCGTTACGTTTGGGCCAATCCGCGGACTTCCTCACACACGCACTCGGCGGGATGTTGCGAGGCTCGCTGCTGCGAGGAGCGGGACACTGTGGGCTGGCTCACTGGTGTGGGGTAGGCGAGACAGCGAGACACCGCGGAACTCAGCCTGGGCACAAACTCCCAGCCAGGCTGCAGGTGTGTGTGTGTGTGCCCAGGCTGAGTTTCGCTGTGTCTCGCTGTCTCGCAGACGGCCACTGGGCTCACAGGGAGGGGGGGGCAGGAGCTCCAACAAGCCGTTTAGGACAGAGAGTGAATACACATACTATGCTGTATGAGAAACCAATGTGAGTTTGGAAAATTGCACAATATACATTTATTTTATTATACCTCAACAATGGAATTATGATCAGTAGAAATGGCCATGACATGGGACCTTTAAATCTTGCAAAGAAGATTCTTGCCATCTTGAGGTCAAGAATTTTCAGATTTAGATTACCATTGTTATGGTCCTAGCCACATTTAAGCCAGTGTATGTGTGTGTGTGTGGGGGGGGGATTTTATCGAGAACAAAAATCCCTATCCTGTGCGTCTTGTTGGGATACAACAAGTATGTCTTGGACTGGAAGCCTTTGGGTCGCCGGTTCAAGACCCCGAACTATGGAGTGTGGACTGGTACCTGGAGAGGTCCCAGTTCACCTCCTGGGCCCTGCCGTGGTTCCCCCACTGCTCCCTGGGCGCTGTACACTAGCTGCCCACTGCTCCTAGTACTAGGATGGGTTAAATGCAGAGGCCACATTTCACTGTGTGTGCTGTGTGCTCTGCATGTGTGACCCTTAAAGAGGGTTTCATCCCTCCCATTCTCCAATTATATTCTAGGGCTTTTATTTTGAAATAACATCCCTCTTCCTGCGCTTCCTGTAAGAATGCCTATACAAGAATATACAGGGGATTAGTTTATTGCCAGGTATGTCTACACATACAAGGAATTTGCTTTGGTATCTGGTGGTGCGAACATAAACAATCTAAAAAAATAATAAGTAGGTCAAGAAAATAAATATATAAGGATAATAAAAAATAACAAATAAGTATATTTATTGATTAGATGATGTCACTCAGCTGTGTCTACCCCAATCTGCCCAGTAACTAGGTTACCATGGTCACCTGCAGCAGCAGAGGGAGGCTCATTCAGAATGCATTGAGGTTTATCTCTGACTCCTATCAAAAGAAGGACTTTGTGTGTGTAAAATGTGGACGTCTATTGGGAAGCTTGGCGGACTTGTTGTCACTCAGATCACTATTGGGCCAGAACGGTGGGCCAGTTCAATATGATGAAGGCAATGGAGCAGGCCTGACTAATTTTGCTCCTGAAATCTTTGAAATGATTTGAATAGTATCACACTAAATATCAGAGGAAAGGAACAAATAGGGGCAAGAAGACAAGCAGCAGAAAAGGAGGAAGAGGGGGCACCTGTGCACGGCGGCAGCTCTCCTCCCACTGCTGCTTCTCCAGCTGCATGTGCTCCACTTTCAGCTGCAGACTGGACAGCTGGCTCATGAGCGACTGGTAACACACATGAAGAGAGTAAGAGATAGAGCTTGACAGAGCAGAGACACAGGAAGAGCATGTGACGGATGAGAAGACATGAGATGAGGAGAATAAAAAGGAGAGTGAAGAGAAAGAGCTGCAGAGAGGGGTTCATAGATACAGATACAGAAGAAGAAAGGAGAGGAGGAAGGAAGCACTGGCAGTTTGCAATTTGCAACACAAAACCATGTGTTTAGGGATAATTAGCCCTTAAACCCTATTGGTTCACAGGTATAAAGCCTTGGAGTGCAACCAAACTAAGTTCACCTCATCAGTTACAGTACAGACTTCAGGTTTACCAAATATATCTATGTCATGTGTTCTTGTGGACAAATTGAGAATGAAATGATGCTGCTCGACTGTGACCTTGATACTTACAGTAAGAGTTCCACATTACATGCAGGGAAAGGTACTAAAGTATATACTGTATGTGTAACAGCTGGCTGATCATAAAGATTTGAGGATTTGGTGTTACATGTTGGTTTAAAATGTACCTTTGTGGCTCTGAGTTTTCTCTCATACTGGCCCTTCTCGCCCTGCAAATCCTCCACTTCTCTCTTCAGCTGCTTTACCTCTTGAAGCAAATCCTGTAGACAAAATAAAACACAGCATTGTTTACAAAAACACTTCTGAACTGTCCACAAGCCAACAAGGGAGGAAATGCAAACATCAGGTGACAATCAGTGTGGTTATAGAGGTCCCTAGGACTGAACTGAAGAGGTTAATAGATACAAACATCATCCTCCTGAAAAAGATACCTCAACGTGCAGCAAACAGGAGAAGGATGCACCTGAGGAAGCAGAACCAGACTAAAGCTGTCGAGCCTGCACACCAAAACATACTGTTAAATGACATGTACAGTAACATGACCCATCCACCTGGTCATTGTAGGAGGAAATGGACAGATGTCAACTTGGTTAGTAGAGAAAGTAACCACTGTCATGCAAGCAAACCACATCAAATCGGATAATAACACAATGCCTGGTCCAAGGCCCAACCAGCCAGTGGCTGAAATGTGTTTTTCCAAATGCTTCAAATGCTTGAGGAGTTGAGCGGAGAAAGCTGCAACTATTGCCCTCTTATATTCATGCAACCATTACAGTAGGTCACTCACATTACTTACTAGGTTTCCCTATGGTGTTACTGACTCATTCAACAACCTTAATAACTCCTCAGATGTATGGAAGCATTTGGAAAACCAATCAAAGTATCCATGTCTTCAAAAACCAGAGTAGAGAGTGACCCAAGCATCTTGTAGACACACAGACATTCTGCAAAGAAACTACAAGAGCGGTGTTAGTTTGATTGATGATTTGAAATGTCCAACACCGCGTGGTGGGTAGTAGTGTAGTGGGTGGACCGGTTAACGTGAGAAGGGAGGAAGAGAAGGAATGGTGGGGAAGGAGTGAAATATAAGTTCAGCCATTATGTCTCCCTACGTGTACATTCTGTCCTCCATCGGGCCTCAGGGGGTCGGAGGCAGCCAGGCTCAGGTCTGAGCTGACTGACCCGGCCCCCAGGCTGCGGCCCGGGGGGTCGCTGCCTCTGGGTTCCCCCTGCTGGGCCTCCCTCTCCTCCAGTGCCCGTTTCTCCTGAATACGAGTGCTGATCTCTTCCTGAAACCTGCACATCTGCTCTTGAAGATCACTGATGAGATTTACCACACACTAGGAGGGACGGAGTGATGGGGGACAAATTAAGTAGAAGAGATTAATTGGTGAGACGAAGAGCAAAAAGAAGCGTCCCTTAATAAAAACATATATTTGTTTACCATAAGCGTAAACACATCCAATCTTTTGCAGGAAAAGAGGGAGGACATTACGTTTTCTAGATTAACTGCAGAAAGAGGACAGTCCCGTTTGGAAGCGGAGGTGAGGAAGCAAACACTATCAGTCATGAGAGATTGCAGGTGGTGGGCTAGGGTTGGATTGTGATCTTCGGACTAACAGCACTCTTCATGAGGGAATGGATCATTGGGTCCAATTTATTCAGGGAGCTAAAAATCACGAATGTGTTAGAGGGCTTAAGATTGGACCTCAAGCAGTAATTACATGTCAAACATTAAAAGGCTAACTTTTCATACGGACCTTTGATTTTAAACAAAGTTGACTTAAGGGGTCAACGTATTTTGCAATATAAAAAGATCATAGCAGACATTCTTTACAGGATAAAAGCACTTCAGCAGACTGCAGCGTTGATATGGGAAGTACTGTTGTGTTGACGTACTCAATACATTTTCACATTATTTCTGCCAAACATTCTGCTGATGTGATCTGTCTCCCAGTGGACCATCACAGCCTGTTAAACCTCTATGTGATAGCCCCACCCTGAAACTGGGCCTTGACCCAGAGTTTAGCCCCAGACGGAGAGAGTGTTTCTGCAGACAGATGGAGAGGAACAGCAGCAGACATGTGTGTGTGCGTGTGTGTGTGTGTGTGTGTGTGTGTGTGTGTGTGTGTGTGTGTGTGTGTGTGTGTGTGTGTGTGTGTGTGTGTGTGTGTGTGTGTGTGTGTGTGTGTGTGTGTGTGTGTGTGTGTGTGTGTGTGTGTGTGTGTGTGTGTGTGTGTGTGTGTGTGTGTGTGTGTGTGTGTGTGGTTGGAATGATTTCCTGAGGTGAAGGTGTTGCCTGCCATTCCTCCTGCCAACAGACCGGAGCCTCGCAGCTGTTACACACTCACACTTACTGTGACTAAGATGTAGAGTACTTTTAGTTGCCATGTGTCAGGAACAAAGCAAATCATATCTGATATGTTGGATTAAGTTGTGAATGAATGTGTATCAGATCGTAGACAGTATCTCATTACCATGACAATTAAGTATCATTTGTAATTGTTAATACACCTCTTTTAAAAACAGAGAACTGAGGATATTGAGAATTTCAAGCTGGAGCTGTCGGTCATAGCTACGGTGTAGATATGGCAATGAACATCTTAGGTCACAGGCTCCTCCAACAGTGCAACACAATAAACAGATAAAATAGTACAAGTAAATAAAATAAAATAGAATATAACAGAAACAGAATATGATAGAAACTGTGCAGAATATATGGGCATAGATTTGTCTCATAATTATTTGTGTGAACATAAAAATAATTTGTGTGTAAATATGTGATTTGTAAATATAAAACACCATCCACAAATGCATTTAAAATATTTGCAAACTCACAAATAAATGTGCAAGTGTAAAACGGATCTGCAAATACGCAAATATATTTTTACAAATAAAAAAAAGATCTTTGAATATCTCTTTAACATTTACAACTTTCGATCAGGCATTTGTGAATCCATTTTGTATTTGTCGACCAAAAATACGCTAGTGGATCTGAAATCTCTACTCGTGGATCTGAAATCTCTACTAGTGGATCTGAAATCTCTACTAGTGGATCTGAAATCTCTGCTCGTGGATCTGAAATCTCTGCTTGTGGATCTGAAATCTCTACTAGTGGATCTGAAATCTCTGCTAGTGGATCTGAAATCTCTGCTCGTGGATCTGAAATCTCTACTAGTGGATCTGAAATCTCTGCTTGTGGATCTGAAATCTCTGCTCGTGGATCTGAAATCTCTGCTCGTGGATCTGAAATCTCTGCTTGTGGATCTGAAATCTCTGCTAGTGGATCTGAAATCTCTGCTCGTGGATCTGAAATCTCTGCTAGTGGATCTGAAATCTCTACTCGTGGATCTGAAATCTCTACTCGTGGATCTGAAATCTCTGCTCGTGGATCTGAAATCTCTGCTCGTGGATCTGAAATCTCTGCTCGTGGATCTGAAATCTCTGCTCGTGGATCTGAAATCTCTACTCGTGGATCTGAAATCTCTGCTTGTGGATCTGAAATCTCTGCTAGTGGATCTGAAATCTCTGCTCGTGGATCTGAAATCTCTGCTAGTGGATCTGAAATCTCTGCTCGTGGATCTGAAATCTCTGCTTGTGGATCTGAAATCTCTGCTCGTGGATCTGAAATCTCTACTCGTGGATCTGAAATCTCTACTCGTGGATCTGAAATCTCTGCTCGTGGATCTGAAATCTCTGCTAGTGGATCTGAAATCTCTGCTCGTGGATCTGAAATCTCTGCTCGTGGATCTGAAATCTCTGCTCGTGGATCTGAAATCTCTGCTCGTGGATCTGAAATCTCTACTCGTGGATCTGAAATCTCTGCTAGTGGATCTGAAATCTCTACTCGTGGATCTGAAATCTCTGCTCGTGGATCTGAAATCTCTGCTCGTGGATCTGAAATCTCTGCTAGTGGATCTGAAATCTCTGCTCGTGGATCTGAAATCTCTGCTAGTGGATCTGAAATCTCTGCTCGTGGATCTGAAATCTCTGCTCGTGGATCTGAAATCTCTGCTCGTGGATCTGAAATCTCTGCTAGTGGATCTGAAATCTCTGCTCGTGGATCTGAAATCTCTGCTCGTGGATCTGAAATCTCTGCTCGTGGATCTGAAATCTCTGCTCGTGGATCTGAAATCTCTGCTCGTGGATCTGAAATCTCTACTCGTGGATCTGAAATCTCTGCTAGTGGATCTGAAATCTCTGCTCGTGGATCTGAAATCTCTACTCGTGGATCTGAAATCTCTGCTAGTGGATCTGAAATCTCTGCTCGTGGATCTGAAATCTCTGCTCGTGGATCTGAAATCTCTGCTCGTGGATCTGAAATCTCTGCTCGTGGATCTGAAATCTCTGCTCGTGGATCTGAAATCTCTGCTAGTGGATCTGAAATCTCTACTCGTGGATCTGAAATCTCTGCTCGTGGATCTGAAATCTCTGCTAGTGGATCTGAAATCTCTACTCGTGGATCTGAAATCTCTGCTCGTGGATCTGAAATCTCTACTCGTGGATCTGAAATCTCTACTCGTGGATCTGAAATCTCTGCTCGTGGATCTGAAATCTCTGCTCGTGGATCTGAAATCTCTGCTAGTGGATCTGAAATCTCTGCTCGTGGATCTGAAATCTCTACTCGTGGATCTGAAATATCTGCTCGTGGATCTGAAATCTCTGCTCGTGGATCTGAAATCTCTGCTCGTGGATCTGAAATCTCTGCTAGTGGATCTGAAATCTCTACTCGTGGATCTGAAATCTCTGCTCGTGGATCTGAAATCTCTGCTCGTGGATCTGAAATCTCTGCTAGTGGATCTGAAATCTCTACTCGTGGATCTGAAATCTCTGCTCGTGGATCTGAAATCTCTACTCGTGGATCTGAAATCTCTGCTAGTGGATCTGAAATCTCTGCTCGTGGATCTGAAATCTCTGCTCGTGGATCTGAAATCTCTGCTCGTGGATCTGAAATCTCTGCTCGTGGATCTGAAATCTCTGCCTGTCTGTAAAATAGTTATTTGTTGTTTTGACCTTCAATGGCCCTTTGTTTTGAAAAGTGCTGGACATTTTTTTCAGATGAAAATATAACTGTATTGCGCGCCACCCTTTTTTCTGTACACAATAATCTCCTTACAATTTCTTAGCAACACCTGTAAAGACAGGATTCACAGTCAGGGTACAGAATGTTTCCGTAGGAAACATTATATGTGTGTGGCCAGGGGACAATTATTGAGGAAGCCAACGATCTCCATCTTTTTCTGAAGAATCTTCAACACCCCTGTTCAGTTTGCAAACATAGTTTTATCAACATGTGAGTATTGATAAAACAAGGTTTGTAAACTGAACCCCTGCAGGGTGGTCTGGGGGGATACTGCCCCAGAAGATTTGTTTTTCTTTGAACATGTAAACTACGCATTCTGGTAATCTCTGACAAGTACAGTCAGAGAGTAGTGCCTGTGCCCTGCTGCTGCAAATCGGGAGCAATTTTATTTTTGACATGTTCTACCCTTGTGCCCTCCTCGGGCATTTTTGTACATTTTTCCTGACTTTTTTTTGTTGATAAGGTGATCATTTCAGCTGTTACAGCTTTTGGTATGGATTTTTGCAAGAAGTCTTCTTTTGAGTCAAATTTTTTAAATGCAATGTTGTTTACTCTTACATGTTTTGTATACTCTCGTGATGCATTTTGCACCCTCTGGACCCCTTTGTGGCAAAAATGTACACGCCCATAATAACTGCTATTAAATCATCATACATCAATATTTGTTTCTACTTCTTTTTCCATGAATCACTTAAACAACTTCTAACGTGCTCAAAACTACCAAACATTCAATCATTTTCAGGATGTTAACCCTTTAAAGGCCTGTTTCATTATTTGAATTATTTAATTTATCTTAAAAAAAAAAACACAAAAAATGAATTTCTTTCAATATATTAATTAGTAGAGGGATGGAACTTTGGTGGTTATTAGAGTCTTGGATGTTTCAAAGATTAGCAACAAAATGTATTTGACTGCATTATCATTTTTTACGTAGTGTCAGATACTACCTCTGGACACCTTCGTGGCAAAAATGTACACGCCCATAATAACTGCTATTAAATCATCATACATCATTATCTTTTTCTACTTTTTTTTTTTCATGAATCACATAAACAACTTCTAAACGTGCTCAAAACTACCAAACATTCAATCATTGTCAGGATTGTAACCCTTTAAACGCCTGTTTCATTATTTGAATGATTTCATTTCCCTAAAAAATGCCTCATTGACTTCCATTCAGACCACATTTTTTGATCTCACTGCCATTGCAGTATAAAACCATGCATTTTGTAATGTCAGCATTTCATTTAGAAGAAAAGTAGTGATATTTGATATTTCTACTCTATTCCAACAGATTACACCATTTTCCCACTGGAGGCCGATGCATGACATTCTTACATTTTGCCAGTTATATTATGGAGCCGTGTGACTACCAGGGGCCCCGAGAGTGGTGTGTGTTTTTTTTCCCAGAGAGCTTTCTTTGAAACCACCAGGTAACGCTAAAAAACATTACATTTAGATTGTATGACAAAGTGTTTATTTAATATATCTGGCTAGCTATAGCTACTTGCTAACGGTTTAGCTTACCCCCGCGATTCAAAGTAACGTCAACGTAGCTGTAATTTATGCTTTGCTTACATGTTCGCATAACTTGGAAGTTTACTGACATTTACATACCTTGTTTAACCGGCTCAAGTGGTGGCTCTGGGGTTGTTGTGTGAGCCACCACTTGAGAATTGTCGTATTTTTTAACAACATTTTTTCTTATGTCCATCTTCAAAAACTCTTGAGTCCGACTGACAGTTTAAACATTGTCACAGCTCACAGGATAGCTATCTGTCAGCCAATAAGACGTTTATTTCCATTCAACTCTCTGGTTGGTCTGGTGTCTTGCCTCTGTTGCATTCACTGGACACGGGCAATTACAATTATGCCGTCCTCTCATGATGAGGTTCAGGTAAAGCACGGTTAATGCAGGCGACACCACTGCATACAATGATGGCAGGGCTTTCATAACAAGAGCCAAACTGCTCATCATATAAACTCATGCACATGTATACTCTCTCACACACAATGGCATTGTCTTTAGGAGCAACTAGCCCACGGACACTTCGATAATGCGTATTTGTATAATTTGTGGGCAAAAGACTTAACATCTGCTAGACAATGAGTGTCTGATAGCAGGAAGTGATACATTTTGAATAGGTAGGAATGCATATTGCTTTGAAAAAACTGAAGGATTAGTTCTAAAAGACACTACAGAAGCAGCTGTGACTCACAGGCTGCTATGAGCTACAGTACGTGCTAATGTCAGGCTCACAATGACAATGCTAACTCTTGGTTGTTTAGCATGTGTAACGTTTGCCATCTGAGTTAGCATGGTTCTTATTTTCCAATGAGCACTTCAGTACAGCTGGCTAATAGAAATGTCAAGTAAAACAAAGAATTGGCCAAGCAGAATTGAATCCTGATGATGACACTAAAAGATCGCCAAAGTCATTACATGTATTGTATCATGAATGTCTGGGATCACAACACTATTACAGTATATACTGCACAATATACTATAGTACATGTTCCATATATTTCATGGGAAAAAAGTTTATGGGTTGATATTTTAATTTTGGAAAATGCAGTAGGATCTTTGTCCAAAGCAACTTAAATACAAGCAGCATTTAAGCTGCTAATGGACCCATAGCTGCTCTGCAATTTTTTAAGGAGTTGAGCAGAAATTGCTAATTCAAACACGCATGCACGGACACACCTCGGCTTTGTTCTGCTCTGTGTCGGTGGGATCTGGTTGCTGTGTGTTGGTGTATGTCTCCTCTATGCTGACCAGCTTCAGTTTCAGGAAGGACACCTCGTCCATCAGATCCAGCTTCTGAGTCTCTAGAGAGGTCCTGCTCATCAGCTCCTGGGAGAAACACATAGCCACTGTCAGTTAGAGTAGAAAAAGATAGAAAGCCGAACTTGAACAGCTTTACAAACTACACCTATAGCAATGTCAAACACTCACTGATATTGGGCATACACGCACAGAGAAGTCAGATCCACTCAGAACAATGTTCTCCCCACACTAACATAGCAGGATAAGCAGGGGGCCCAGGCATAAGGCTAAACACACACACACACACACACACACACACACACACACACACACACACACACACACACACACACACACACACACACACACACACACACACACACACACACACACACACACACACAGGCTGTCTGTGCTTCTTTTGTATGGGAAAGAAAAACACAAAGTATGTCGTAGACAGTGAAGCCACCAAACATGATGAAATGTGTGGGGTTTTTTTCTCTGACACACACAAAACACACACCTCGGTGCTAACTCTCAGTGTGTCTGTGTATATCGTTTTTCTTCTTTAAATTATTTCTAATGCAATTTCCTCCTCTCTAAACTAAAAGTGCCTTGGGTTGTTATTTAGGCCTCTGACAGAGAGAAAATAAAAAACACGTCTCTAAATAGGCTTGCCCACTAGTTTGATAAAACAGGTCTAGCTGGTGCAGACAGCTAAAAGTGATTCCATCAAACTAAAACAGATACATACAAGTGCCCTATATCCTTCATCCTGAAGAACATACTGCCAGTTCATTCAGAGATTCATTTGCTTCCAACAGGTTGACATTAAACTGTCATGAAACCAGTGAGCACATCTTGGATTCAAGTAGATCTTACATCTGGTTATTGGATTACATGATCTGATTTGACTTTTATTTAAATAATTAAATAACTTGTTTAAATTATACTTACGCAGGTTATACTACTGTTAGGCAGTAGTGCCATTTTTTTATTTCTGTAAAACCAAAATCGTCATTCTATATGGAAGCTTTCCTTACTTTAGAAGTGATGTAATTATCTTTGACCACAGAAGGATATCATTCCATCTAAATGAAAATATCACATGCTAAACAAACTGTGTCAACACCACGGCCAGAGACAGCTCAAAGCCTATTATCACACACACACACACACACACACACACACACACACACACACACACACACACACACACACACACACACACACACACACACACACACACACACACACACACACACACACACACACACACACACACACACACACACACACACACACACACACACACACACACACACAGTGTCACCTATAGAAGGATAAGCTGCTATTTTTACGGGTAATTTATCATAACTCATCATCATTGACATTTCATTTCTTTGAGTTATCAGGAGCAACACCAGAGGAAATATCACCCTCTCTAACAGCATGCATTTCTTTAGCCAAACTGTTTTATACGTAACACAGATGCATATCATCAGAACTCATATCTGGATACACTTCTTAAAATCCTGATAACAAAATGAGCAAGCAGCATTGAAAGGGCCCTCACACACGTGTTTAGTGGCATTTCACCGGTCGACGTGCACTCTCTCAGATGATTGAAATAGCTATCACAGGAGTCGACTACAAATGGTTCATGAGTAATGCAAAGGAGCAGGGTTAAAGTGTGACCATCAACATTCACATGAAGCTTAGCGCAAGTTCAATGAGGAAGACCAATCCTCTGGTGTTACACGTCATTTCAATACTCTCTCCTCATACTCTCTCCTCTCCCAATAAGTGATCGGGGGCATTACTCCCCAGCTAGCCAATCATCGCACCCGCTAACCCCTTTTAAATCTGCTCTTCCTTCTCTGTCAGTCGTCAACAACGCACAAGCAGCAGCAGGGCTTCGTCCCAGCTCCAGGCATATATCTGTAGAATCTGCATGTATCTGTATGATTATTATTACTTTTTGTTTTGTTTTGTTACTTCCCATTGTAAAGCGTCCTTGGGTTTCGTGAAAAGCGCTATATAAATTGAAATTATTATTATTATTATATATTCATCAGCTCCGCAGTCTTGCGGATTAAGCTACAGGCGGCGTTCCCCAGTCGGCTAGGGGTTCCAGCCGGCCACCCCCGCGGGAGGAAAGGACAAGGAAATCGGGCACCACGGAAGTTCCTCCGGCTTAATGGAATTGGCCTACTTCACACAAACAATTGACGCACGCCTTCAGTCTCTCGCGAGGGCATCACTGGCATCAGCGCCGCTCAAATGCGGCGCTTCCGGCCTTCACGCGGAACGGGCCCTCATCGCATGCGAAGCTTCACCATCTCTGGCTTCAACCACAACCCCTCTTGCAGGCGGACAGGGCTTAAGCTACATCCCATTGAAGCTACTTCTCCTCCCGGCTCAGTAGCCAGTACTGGACACTAAGTGCGTCATAGGCGGCTAGCAGGTTCATTGCACAGCCCAGGCTCTCGCCTCTTTCCCTGCGCCTCACCTCTAAAACAGGCGTCAGGGTAGCACTGGCAAGAGGCAGTTGCAACAAATTCACGAGACGTTCGTTATATGCATTGCTGCCTTTAGTTAAACCAGTGGTTCTCAAACTTTTTCTGTCAGGCCCCCCCTTTGGAGAAAAAAAAAAGTCGGGCCCCCCCAACACAAATAGTCAGGCTCAGTGGCGGCGCCAGAGATTTATTTTGGGGGTGCTGTGGGGTAGCTTGACGTTTCATAGAGGGTGCTCAAACATTTAGGGTTTCCCATTAATGTACCGGGCGCTACAGAGGAATGTTCTACTGCAACACTCCCCACGCATATACACAGTGTGACAGTTACAATGAAGGCTCTATAATCAGCTCACGGCATATAGGTGTAAGCAGGGGTAAAGTGCTATTTTTATAGGTGGTGTGTGGACCTCACATAGGGGGGTCCGGGGGCAAGCTCCCCCGGGAAGATTTTTAAATATTGAAGTTAAAAGCATCAATCTGGTGCACTTTGAAAGCAACATGAAGAGATCTATGGATACATCTCTCAACACCCATATGAAACAGAACTGTAAACAGATTTACTTTTTCTTTATGGATATTTTACAAATCACCCTTTTAAACTTTATTCTTTTTTTACTGTCATATAGTATTTCATACCTGTTTTTAATTTATTCTCTTATTTTTTTTAAACTATAATGATCATATAAATGTGTGCCTCGGAAATAATTGTTTACATTAATGGTGACCAAAACGTTTGAGACCCACTGAGATAACACTGACAGAGTCTTTTAGCTCACTGAGACTCTCAGTCTGACAGGAGAGGACTCTCCTCCACTTTGTTGTTGAAAAAACTCCTTATATCCGTTAGCGTAGCTCACTAGCACCAGAAGCTAACAACAACGATCTCCGGTACCGGTGCGCTCTCTCTCGCGCGCACGCACACAAAATGGCTCGTTCCACACACACACAGAGCCGAGCTTTAATGAGTGATCGGGACGTTACTCCCCAGCTAGCCAATCATCGCACCCGCTAACCCCTTTAAATCTGCTCTTCCCTCTCTGTCAGTCGTCATTTCAGGCGTCAACGCACAACCCTCCTCCACCCCTTCGCCTCCTGTCTCCTAATACAGGGCCAAGCTAAAACCTTCTCCCTTCAGAACCGGACCGAACCACTTATCACCACCACCAGTGTCTAGACCCCGGGGGGTTCATCGGAGCGGTTTTCCCCTCCTGAATGATCATCCTGCAAACCGGGGCCTAATCGCCAAACATCATTTCATTCACTTGTAGTAATCCGTCAATCACTATTCCCTCATATCAGGCGTCCCGGTAATAAACATGTATTTCATACATTACATTACATTGCATTTAGCTGACGCTTTTATCCAAAGCGACTTACAATAAGTACATTCGACCAGGAAGACACAACCTTGAAGAAAACAGAATCATATAAGTACATCAGGTTTCATAGAGCCAAACATTTCAAGTGCTACTCAACTGGCTTTAGATAAGCCAGTCCTTTATTAGTATATAAGTGCTTTATTAGCAGTTATTTGTTAGTAATTCTATCACTCGATACATCACGTCTCTCCTGATTGAAATGTAATTAGGGACCAATTGAACAAAGTCTGTTGGAGTTACACCAACTTCCTGTTTTTTGGAAAATAATCATAACGGCTGCCTCTCCACGGCAAGGTGGTTCCATGAAAACTCCTGATTTGAATAACTTTTCTTTGTCTGTGTCTCTAGACAAATTCCTCAAAGTACAGCACCTACAAAAGGGGATGAATTATCAAAGCTAGCTGGATAAATATAACAAAAAATGTCACAGGGTTAGAGGGGTACATTCTGTTGAAGCTGTTGCCTTTTCATCTTTTGTCTTGACAACATAGAGGACAAAGAGGCTATTGGGGAGTCCAAACAGAGGGCTGATTCTGTGACACACAGAGCAGAGCTCTTGTTACATTCAGCTGACACAACTCATGAGTTTGTCAAGTAAAAAAAATACTCACCTCTTCATACTGGCAAGTAAGTGGGACCAGTCTACAGCAGGGTTGAAAGAAGGGGAGTGGTGGACATACTAATGATTTAAAGAATATATATAAACTGCCAGCAGACCAAACTCAGTTCCCGGAAATCTCAAAGGAGAACTGTGTAGGATTTAGCTGTGTTTGTTCTGGGCTACTGTAGAAAAATGGTGGTGCAACATGGTAAACTCTGTGGAAGAAGATATTAAAAGGTCAAAGTTAATTCAATCACAACAATTGATAGTTTGAGGGGATTACACTGATGACAACATAATGGAACAACTGGAATAACAGCTATTATGTTCCATCTCCACAAATAGACCCCCCTGAATCCTGCTCTTTTAGGAATTGAAATCCTACAAAAAAACATGGTTAATTTTGAGCACTGACAGAGAGTGTTATTCAGTAATGCAGTTGAGAAGAACTGGCTCATTCTTAAAGAGATCTTTTTCAGATATGCTTGATTTGACCAGCATTGTCTTTGGTAAAGGTAAACTGGCCAAATGTGACTGTTCATTCCTGTTGGTCTCTTCTACCTGGGGCTGACACTGCTGTATCGTCATAAGGAGCAAGCATTTTACCAAGGGCTGATAACAACTTTGGGCCTGTGTCCAGGGCCTTTTCTGGTAGTGCTGGCAGGACGTGAGCAGAGCCTCCGCCCAGCATTTCAAATAACGCCAATCTATTTTTTATTGTTTCTATGACAATATTTCTAAAGCAAATCTCCGCTGTTCAAATACTGAGTAGCTTCACCCCCTTTGATTAAATGATCTGTTCATGCTAATACATATATTATGTTTCACCATGAACATCAACAGGAAGATTCTTGCTCTCAGAACTTGTATGAATGAACTTCAGCTTAACCCACATGCGGAGAAAAAAGTACAACACTTACAGGCAGCAACATTCAGGGTCCACTCGGATAATCCGCTCCAACTAAGCGGCATTAGGTCTTTGTAAAGAACGTTTCTGTCTGAAGGACATTGGCCAAAAAAAAGCTTCTCTATGGTGATGTACCCAGCACTTTTTTGAAAAGTAGAAATATCTTCAAGTCAAAGCACTTGGAACAGCCACACAAAAATGCTGCACAGAAAAAAGCAGCTGGATGCAGTATTTCTCTTGAGGCGGAGACATGTGACAGCATATGCTCTCTCCTGATTGGAAACAATTGAAAAAAGATGCTGCCGCATAGAAATCAGCAATACGTAAAGACAGGCGCTGTGAACAATAACAGAATATTTCAGGCCTCATTATATTATTATGTGCTTCACACTGACAAAGTATTCAGTAGTAGCAGAGCAGTCCACAGTTCTTGATCAAAAAGGTCACCTTCGCTTTGTTCTAAATATTACATTTTGTCTATACTCATAACATTACACTGTGTCTACAGCGGTGTACAGCAACCTCCTGTTTTTTGGCAAATAACCAAAATGGCTGCCTCTCCAAACTCAGAAGCTAAACCCTGGCTTATACATTTGTTACCTGGCAGGATAAAATATTTTATTAACACTTCTTTTACAACTCAAATATCAAGCTTGACAACCTCCAGCTACTACCGCCGGTCCTACACCCCCTCCTGCTCCAGCTCCTGTCCCCCCTCCTGCTCCAGCTCCTTCCCCCCCCCTTCTGTTCCCCGTCCTTCCCCCGCTCCTGCCCCTCACCTTACCCCCTCCTACCCCAGCTCCTGCTCCAGCTCCTGCCGCTCCTGCCCCTCACCTGCCCCCCCTCCTGCCCCAGCTCCTGCCCCCGCTCCTGCCCCTCACCTTACCCCCTCCTACCCCAGCTCCTGCTCCAGCTCCTGCCCCTCACCTGCCCCAGCTCCCGCCCCCGCTCATGCCCCCGCTCCTGCCCTTCACCTGCCCCAGCTCCTGCCCCCGCTCCTGCCCCCCCTCCTGCACCCCCTCCTGCACCCCCTCCTGCACCCCCTCCTGCCCCAGCTCCTGCCCCAGCTCCCGCTCCTGCCCCAGCAGTCTGGCCACCAGATTAGCCTAGCTCCAGCTCCCGCCCTCAGCAGCTTCACCTGTATGCCGCTGGGGGCGGCCTCAGATTCTACGCCTCTGCCCTCTCTGTCTTCCCGAGATCTCCCCCAAACTGAACTTCACAGCGGACACAGAGATCTTCTGCACAGCTGGCCAGGTTAATGATTCACTAAAACAGTCAGTCACTCGAATATCATGTGATTCATGGCTTTAAACTATTTCACTGGTAACTCATGGCACTTTTTTTCAATGAACATGAAGCCAGTGTGCCAAAAACAAAATGCCACTGAAAAGCCCATGAATTATCGTTCACACATTTGATTACAAAGGTCCTTTACCCTTGTATTATGTTCACATTTTGCACCTGCTGGTACTGTTCGGGTCAAATTTACAGGAGGCATGATTTATGTTTAAAATAAAATGCAAACATTAAAAAATAACATATAAAGTCGCTAATAAATATTTTCTTTATCTTAATTCCTAACTGTAGCATTTATGATGAATGTTTCCAAATACTCTCTGCTAGATCACTTTCAAAAATTGAAGTTTCATTTGTTTCTTGGGATAAAGTTATAACTTATGTTCAAATCCACATCCAAAATAATAAAGACTTAGAATACATATTCAGGCAAATCCAGCAAAATACAAATTGAACTCTTCCTCTTAATGTTTATTATTTTGAACATATGTTTTACTTATTTATAAAGCCGCAGACAAAACACAGGTTTGAACCGCACGGAAAACACCTAAATCAAATGTTGTTTTTGAAGAAGTATATCTCTCCAAAATTATTTTGGACTGTGTGTGTGTGTGTGTGTGTGTGTGTGTGTGTGTGTGTGTGTGTGTGTGTGTGTGTGTGTGTGTGTGTGTGTGTGTGTGTGTGTGTGTGTGTGTGTGTGTGTGTGTGTGTGTGTGTGTGTGTGTGTGTGTGTGTGTGTGTGTGTGTGTGTGTGTGTGTGTGGTGTATGTGTGCATTACCTGTTGCAGCATCACCTCTGTAGAGGCCAACTTTTGCCGGTGTTCCTCCAGAGAACTTTCTAGGTCTCTAATCTTCTCTCCCTGGGCCTTCACCTGGTCTGTCAGAATGCTCACCTAAAGGATCAGAATCCGATCAGAATCCGAATACCTTTATTAGTCCCACAGAGGGGAAATGTACGTAGTTACAGCAGAAAAAAGTATGTTTGTTAGGACGCAGTGAGAGACAGAGCTGAATTGACCAGTGGCAGATTAATACACACACGGAAGGTATTGCAAACACAAACAGAGACATGGAAACACCGATATTGATGAATATACCCACATTCATACAGAAACAGACAAAACAATTGTTTTGCTAACTTGTTCTGTTGGAAAACACCAACCCATATTTTTTGCAAACACACACACAAATACGCACATGCATACACAAACATACATGCACACACATGCACACACACACACACACACACACACACACACACACACACACACACACACACACACACACACACACACACCATGTCTCTTTGTCTTCCTTCACGCCACACAACACACATTCCTCCAGGCATACCTCAACAATTGCACATTTACTACAATCTCCTTAACGACACACTGAGCACCTGTGAATCATTACACACCCTGCAAGTCTCCTGTTGTCCAAAACTCTGCCAGATCCCTTTGAAGGAGCACATTATTGTTCACCACAGCTTCTCTAAATATTAGCCCTAGAGCCAGGACCCACAGCATACTGGCAGCTAAGAATCATGATTTCAGACACTGTGGTTGTTTAGCACCTAAAACATCGAATTGACCATTTCCTGACTAATGTAATCTATATCTTATATGTTAAGTGTGTAGTACCACAAAGCAATTAAAAGACAAAGCAGGGCTTTGATATGACTGTATAAACTCCTAACATTGAAAATAAAGATGCTTACCTCTTCAGGGCTCTGCTGCTGAGCTACACACAGTAAAAAGTCCCTACTGGGATACAAGGAAGTAAGTTACTTAACAAAGAGTGTGTGTATGCTGACACAGAGTGCTTACGGAGAGGCATGTGAATGAAAAGTAAAGCAAATAACCTGAAGCAGGCAACCTGTCAACAGACAGTGAAATGTTGTGTCAGCGAAGCCCCAGTCACCTTGTATGCCAACCAATCACAGCTGGTCCTTGATGCAGAATGTGTAACTAGTAGGTGTGTAAATGAGTGAGTGAGAGACAACTTTAACCAGTCATCCATGGGGCTCTGCACTCGTTTTCATTGTTGTATTTTGGGTTTCTACAATAACAATTGTACATACAAAAAACGGAATATACCTGTATATGTCTAAAACGTGTTGCTGCCTGTCTCTTCAAGCCCCAATCGCGGAAAAGGCTCAGTTTGTTCTGATTGGTTAGTGCTCCTTTGGGCCCTTATGGCGTATTTCCACTGCAGGGCCTCGCTCGGCTTAGTACGGTATAGTTAGGCCTTGGTAGGCCAGGCTCACTTTATGCTGCGTTTCCATTACAGTTTAGTGGCTGGGGCAGTAACTATAGTAACGCAGTGTAGGCGGAGCCGTGACGTCATCTTCAATGCGAACCACAGAAAACCAAAACACCAGCCGTTAGCTGTTAGCACTCAGAGCTCACAGCTCCTCATATCTGTTCAGAAACTAGACTAAAGTTAAACAAGTACAAACCACAGACTGTCTGTGTCATGGAGAATACAGTCGCTGGTTTATTTATGTCTGTATAGGCCGTTGTTGTGAGTGTGGACGGTCGGAGCATATATAACGTTAGCTTAGCCGATCTCCATTCAGAAAACACGCATTTTAAAAGGTTTTTCGCCTGCCGTCTGTCTGCAGACTTGTCAAAGCATTAATTCATGGTTTTTACTAACCGGTATCAGTATGTTGTTACTTCGGCATCATTTTGAAATGTGTATTACAATTAAATCACGGTCAAATATGTTCATCTTGTCGTAGTTGTAGCCCCCTTGCCAGCGATTCTCTCTCTAGTTTAGCATACTCAGCCTGGTTGTTGGCCCGGAAAGAACCTGGATTTTATGGGGCCAGAAAAACTGTGAAATAGTACCTGCTAGCCGGTACTACGCCAAGTGGAAACGCAACCAAAGACGGGCCGTGCACCTGCGTCAGGCCATTGTGTCCTTGGGCAAGACACTTCACCCAAATGTACTCATATGAAAGGGAGCTGTATACTTTTCAATAATCCAAAAATTTGTAGAATATGATCACAACCAATAACAAATCATTTAAACTTGTTTATTCTTATCTCATGTTACCTAATTAGTATTCTTTATTTGTCTTTATGCATATTTGACTAATCACTCCCCTTTTAAACAGTTTTGTTTTTACTGTCCTAGTACACATTGGAATGATTTCTTACTTTATTTTTTACATCTATATTAAATAGTTAAAGGTGTGCACTCTCTCGCTCTCTCTCTGTCTCACTCGCTCACAGAGGCTGTGTGGCCACGGATTATTATTTGAATGTATTAAAAAAAAAAAGTTGACTGGTGCCCCGTAGCAGCGCCGCTGCTGAATGTATATAGGGGAAACACTGCACAGTAATGACTTTTACATGTCTAATATGTGTAATGTCTGTGTAATTGTAAAGCGCTTTGAGCACCTGCAAAAGCGCTCCAATAAAAAATGTGATGCATTATTATTATTATATATGGCAGGCAAGCCCGCCTTAACCTGCCATCAGGCCCTGGGGCTGATAGGTTTTGTAGGCCCCCTATTTAAACAACAAATCAAAGTCATTTATAGCCTCAGCAGGCTCTGTGATCGCACTTCTCCACTCAGCTCTACGCGCGCCTGGTCCTCTCCTCCAGATGAGTGACTTGCTCCCCTCCACGTAGCAAGTCCTCGTCGTCCTCTCCATCTCCTCCAACAGATAATGTCCCTCCTGTCTGTTTTTCCTCTCCCGCTACTCCATCGCTATCAGAACCAGACGGCCTACTTGGCTCCGAGGCCGGCACCGCTGCCGCTCGGTACATAACTCATCTGTCCTTCCTCCTCATCCTGGCCTACAGGTTTAAAATAACCTGTAGGCTTCGGCATTTTTTAAATAGCTGCTTGTCTCGAAAATCCTTTTCCTCAACAATTTCCTTCCGAGCGCCACTCTCAAACTTTTTCTTCTCAAACTTTTTCTCCTAAACAACCTTCATCCATCACTCAATCGCTCGCAATTTGAATAAGTCACATGTGAAACATATTCTCATTCTGATTGGCTGTTAAGTGGTGCCCACTGACTGTTTCGGAGTCATCATTTGTGAGAAAAATGGAATCCATCGATCTGATTGATTAGCGGAGCAAATGATCAAAATACTACGGAGGGAAGATATTTTAGTTTGAATTACTGTTCTGGGGGAAGCTCACGAGTGTGTGTGTGTGTGTGTGTGTGTGTGTGTGTGTGTGTGTGTGTGTGTGTGTGTGTGTGTGTGTGTGTGTGTGTGTGTGTGTGTGTGTGTTTGTGTATTTTTGCGTTTGTGTGTATTGTGTTTGTTTCCCGGGGAAAACACTCACGAGAAACACCGGCTGTTGTTATGCCTGCTGTGACGTCAAGTTACTCCGTTCTCCGCTTGTAATTATGCAAAGTTGTATTTATCATCTGAATTTGCCGAAACAAGTTTAATATTTTGAAAGCCAAGACATTTTGTTTATTTGAAATCAGATGAAAACAAACTGTAACGGACTCTGCCGTGTTATCTATGATTACTCTACGCTTACATTCATAATTTCAGCGGAGGGAGGGGAAGCAGCGCTGTGGAACAGCAGAGTGGAGAGGGAGAGCTGTCATCTTCCCTTTACAAGCTTCAAAAATGTATTTATCGTGTGATTTTGGAAATAAAAGTTTCATATTCTGAAAGCCAAAACTTTGTTTATTTAACATTTTTCAAAAAACATCAGAAATAAAAAACCTTTTTTTATTTTATTTATTGGCTCATGATAGGCGCCCGATCTCCGTAGGCCCCTGAGCTTCAGCCCAGGTCAGCCCGTGCATTAAGGCGGCCTGGCAGGGCTCTCCAACACGTCGATCGCGGTCAGCTTTTCAGTAGCTTGCCGCTCGATTATCGATTATAGCGTTGCTTCTTGATTTTTCAGCCGCGGCTGGACAATAACGTTTTTTTTTATTTTAGAATGTTTTCTGTCACACGAACAGTGGCGGCGGGTCATTAGGGGCAGGTGGGGCACAGCCCCACCTAGTGTCAGAAGAAAGTATTACAAATAATGATTACAAAAAAATACTAAAAAATAAATAAAAAAACATATAAAATATATTTTAAGGTCATGTTTAATAATCTGATTCGTCTGTACATTTCTGTTTTAGTCTGTGTTCTTCTAATTAGTGTCTAGAGTGCCGTTTTGAGCTGTTTAGAGCCATGTGGGACAAAACCCGATCCTGCCCCTCCCTCTCACAGTCTAAGTGAACGGTGATTGTAAAAACTACACTGCGCATGCTCAGAGTATTTTTTCTATTTAATGTGTGTGGCAAAAAAATAATGACCGTAGGGGCATAGTGCTCCCATCCCCACCATCCGTCATCTCACATAATTCAGAATTGATTGGCTGTAAGTACTCACGTGTGCAGTGCTGCGAAACGTCACGTGTAGTTTGAAGAGGAGACGAGAGAGCAGCATATAGCTAACATCACCAGCGATTAAAAGAAGTAAAAAACTGAAAGAAAATGAATGAAGTTGACCATTTACTGGAGCACACATTTGAGACACTTAGTCTCGGAGAGAAACTGGAGGTAAAGCGCCTCGGTGCCCACCATCCACCGGATTTCCAAATGGTCCAGACTGCGGGCAAAGTTAAACGTGGGTTTAACGCTGAGTGGTTTGCTCAAAAGAAATGGCTAACGGCGAGCATCCAGAAGAATTCCCTCTTTTGCTTTCCTTGCCTGCTTTTTGGTGAAGATCAAGGTACTTGGTCGAGGACAGGTTACAAGGACTTAAAGCATCTTTCGGAGAGGACAATGAAGCATGAGAGCAGCAACAGTCATTTGGAAAATGCCGTAAAATTGGGATTACTTGGAAGGGTGAATGTTGCAGCTCAGATTGACAGCGCCTACAGACGCGGCATTGATTCTCATAATAGGAAGGTGGA